TGAGGGTAAAGTTGGAAAATAAAATCAGGGTGTTTTGATCAAACCAATTGGAACATTCTCATTTTTTTAGTATATGGTATAGAATTATTTTTATGATTTTCTATATTTTTTTTGTAATTTTTTGTGTATTTCTTTTTTTTTTGTAATTTATATTGTTTTCTTCATTTTGACGAGAAAGGTGCATAGAATAAGGGAGACGCCATTTCTACTTCCTCCTTCCTACTGTGAAGTAGGGGGGAATGGATAAGATATATACTATATAGAGAGGGGTTTAAAGGAGAGAAATGGGGTTTTAGAATTTATGTCTTCGCTTCATGTGTGAACATGACATTTGGTCTCTTGCCTCCTGCTGCTCTACTCATTAATGGTGGGGTCATTATTTGCATATCTAATGGCTAGTGTTTTGATATATGTTGATCTTGATTTGTTTATATTTAGATTCAAATTGAACATCCGTCTGATTTATATAGAAGAGTATGGATCTCCTGCCAACAAAACATATACCAAACCCCTACAACCCTACCAAGTACCAAACCCCTATGGTATTATGCTCGTAGGGTGTTAGATTATTGGACTGGCCCGATGATCATCAAGAAAAAACACCCTAAAATGAATCAATATAATGAACTTAAATGCATTTCCCGATCAGATACAACTTATTACGTTAATGTAGACAATGAAATAGAGGGGAAATGAAAAAAAAAATACTTGAAAAAATAGGGAAAAAAAGCTTCATTTAACCATCTACTTGATTGTTTGATGATGAAAACAAAGAGGTTGAAAAAAATCCATTCGTCCATTCAATTCAAATTTGTGGTTTGGGCAAACCATCCGATGCTTGACACGTGTTGGCTCTAATCAGTGAAGAGGTTCGTTAGCTCAGGGAGAAGATCAAATAAGGCATAAGGGGAGAGAGGAGTAGGTTTCCACAACGGTTTTATTTTTATTTTATTTGCTTTATCCAATTACAAGTGTGAACTGTTAATTAAATAAAATTGAAAAAATAAAAAACATAAAGGATAAAAATGGAAAGTGAAAATCAGGCTTTTGACGAAACATTGCTGCCACCATCCTCATTTTTATAAATAGTACAGATCAAGGTTCAAAATGTCGATACGCCCGATACGCCCCTACCGGCGTATCGGGCATTTGGATACTTGTTTTTTTACTTTTTTTTTATTTTTTTTTCAAAACTGGTTCAGGGGAACCGGTTTAGGACCCCTCCATCCCCTGAACCGGTCAGACCCTCGATACACTCACTATAGGGATATATCGGAAGGGTCCCATAATGATATGTATCAATACGAGCCAATATGTAACAATACTTTGAACCTTGGTACAGATACATATATTTTTATTATGTTTTTGCTTCCCCTTGAAACAGAAAATACAAGATTATCAGGATTGAAAGACCACACTTAGTATTTACACCCACATTTAGATATTAAATAAATAAACATATCACCTCAATGGACAAATTTAACAACCTAGTTTATCTACTTCTGGGGTGTTGGTAAAGAAACTACATGAAAAGAAATTAGATTATTTTAGCTGTAATTTCCGAACAATTTTAATAGCACAAGAGTTTGGTCTTTAGAAGGTATTACGAGGGATTACAAGATATGATGTATTTTGAATCTACTGGTCGCATTGTGATGTGGTTGAAATAACATGGTGTGAATCGTATGATACATCGTAAGATGTCATGCATTGTGCCTTTGGAATCAGAACAGAGTGATGAAGATGAAATGGAAACTGCAGAGACGGAGGTGCTGTTAGCATCTAATCAGCACCCAGTGCCTAATCGGACACCAGATGGTAAACAAGAAATTCGCGTTGGCCTCCCATAAAATGCACATGATACCCACCCTACAGTACATCCCAACCGTGTATTGGAACATCTCTTCGAATATGTTCCTGTGCTGTGGGAAACGTGTGGAGCATGGTTTTTAAAATCGGACCGGATTGGACAATCGGACCAGAAAAATTAGGAATCGGTCAGGTGATTGGTTTCGTTTTTTCTCAAATTCGGATTTTTCTCAAAAACCATTGATTTTGATCAACAAATTGCTAATTTGAACAATTAACTGTTTGAATGATTTTGACTGTTTTTTTAATTTTTTTTGTCAGAACAGATCAACCATTCATTCAAACTATCGGACCATTCAACTCGAGAATCAAACCCCTAACCAGTTCATTCTCCAGGTCGGTTTTAAAAACCTTGGTGTGGAATGGGTGTCAGGTGCATTTTATGGGGAGCCAATCCAAACTCATAAACAAGTTTTAAGGTTTCAGAATTTCAGGGCCTTTTAGCCAGCGCACAATAAGATTAATTAGGAATATCAGTGGATGGTAAATTTGCATTGACCCAACCCTACTGTGTTAGGGTTGGATTAACCTGAATCAGATTTTGGGTCGGGCCCATTGCAAATCCTACCCTAACCCAATTGGCATTGTAGCATTTAAACATTTTGAACATATATCCTTAGTTGAGTATAGGTGTATTGTTTGTGGAAGAGGTCGGATTAGGTTCAACATTCCAGTTCATTTGATCGGATTGATTCAGGTCGAGGCAAACCCGTATCCAACCCACAGATATTCCTAGGGACTAGGGTGAATGGTGACTGTTGATTTAAGGTAAGGCTCAGTTTGAAAGGAATACAAATATAAATTTATAGAGTGTAAAACTTTGTATTTTGTATGTATTTATATTTTATAAATTTGTATTTATACTCCTTCCAAATTGAGTTAAGGGAGGATTCCTGCAAATCCGACCCATGCATAAAAAAATAACCATGACAAAACTCTGGTCTAGTTGAGAGCCAGTCAGAGTCCAAGAGACATTTTCACTGCTTCAAACATTCCTATATCCTAACTACTCCAACTAAGAGAAAATTATGTTATATATCCAATGGAGGATCAAATTGTGTACAATGACAAACCTGAATTAGTTGACAAATTTGCCATCAACTTCAAGCAAAGCAGCTATTGTTGTTCTGTAAATGCTGGTGCGTGGAGTTGTAGAATGTCCCTCCACCTGATAGTCATAGCCATCACGGCAAATTAGGGGTGCAATTTGGGCGGCCCAACCCAAGCTCGAACTGATTCAGCTCGCAATTTTATACAGACGTCGCTTAAATTTTCAATCCTCGTGCTGGTCCTGGATTCAAAAGTTTGGGTAAATTGCTGAAATCCCATTAAAGTTTAATAATTGCAATTACCTCCCCTAAATTTTTGATACAATTGTAAGTAGACCTTCTTTCTCCCATTTTTGTTTCTCTTCCACCGAACCCTACCTCATAAGCACCAGCGAGCTCGATCCACACCAGCGTCCGTCAACTCAGAAGCCACCAGCGGTGAGAGGGAAATCATCCGAGGTTCTTCTTCTTCTTCTTCCTACAAAGGTAGTGTTCTTTCTAGCTTTCTATTTTCAACATGGTTTTTAAAAACGAACTGGTGACCGAACCGGTCAGGGGTCCAGTTACCGTTTGACTCGAACGGCCAGCCCATTTTGATAAAAAAATAAAAAATTTGAAAAAATGGTCAAAACCGTTCGAACTGTTCGAATAATTAACCAACCAGTTCAGCAGTTTACTGACCGAAATCAACAATTTTGAGGAAAAAAGCGATTTTAGAGAAAAACGGACCCGATTTTTCCGGTCCAATCCGATTTTGAAAACAGTGGTTTTCAACATATCGAATAACCGCAGTTGACGATAGCCTCGTTGACCTGAAGTCATTGAACGCTTGCTCAAGATATGTTCTTGTAAAGGAGAGCGGTGGATAGCGGAAGGAGAGCTCTACAATCATTACCGCAGTGGATAGCGAAAGGAGAGCTCTGCAAATTTTAAGTTTGGATGGGGAGAACTCTGTTGGATTAGATGTAAGTGAAGGGCCATAAAGCCAGTACTCATTGGGCACATCCACCGTAAAATATCAGCATTGATGCTAGGGATGTATACAGAAAATATACGTTCAGTTGAACCAGCTTGAATGGCCTTCGGCCTCCGAGCCAATGACTCACACCACTTTGTCTATTAATGGAGGATTCCCGGTTTTTTCTTTGAAGACTGATGAGTGTTGAGATGCGTTTAATTTGAAAGGCATTTGTTACACAGTTTTGTTTTATCAACCAGTAATAGAACAACTAGGATCATAGATAATTGATAAAGAAAATTAAAAGACACTTGAAGAATATTTGTATATTTTATTATGTCACTTAACGACTGATTAATAGAATGCAGTAGATTATCGCATTTCGAAAGTTAGTATCTGTCGGAAATTTTTCCAAAAAAGCCATTTTCTACTCTACGTTACGAAAGGGCTACTGTAGACAAAAATGAGTCCGCCTTATGTAAACCCGTGGGTTCCTTTAACAAGTGGCCAGTTGAATCGGACACAAAATGACAAAAAAATGCACTACTCCCATTCCTTCCTCTCATTTTTGTTTCTCCTCCACCAAACCCTACCCCACAAGCACCGAAGAGCTCAATCCACACCGGCGTCCGTCAATGCGGAAGCCACCGGCGAGAGAGAAATCATCCGGCTGTGCATTATCTGGCCGCTCTTCTTCCTATAAACCTAATGTTCTTTCTGGCTTTCTATTTTCAACAGATCGAAGAACCTCCTTAAAACCATGACTGGGGCAAACTTGGCTGTTGGACCTTGAGACAACCAACTGCCCACCCTATTACAAGTCTAATAATCCTTATCCACAACCGATGGTGGAATGAATAAAACAGGGTGTCCATTAAATAATCCTATTAACAACCCGATCGGCTTAGCTATTCGGTTCCTTCCTCTGTTCACAGTCACGAATTCCCTTCGTAAAAAAAATGGTATAATTTTTTTTTTTCGCTTCAGAGGTAGAAATTTTATTTGAGTTAGTGAACATTAGAAAAAGGCAAAACTTAATAATATGAACTGTATGTAATTAAACCAAAATTAATAGGAAAAAACAGATGTGACTAAAAAACCTACAAGAAAAAGAAAAGAATGGGAAGAGTTATTCGCCGCTAGTTACTTTAACTCGCCTTGAAGGTGACTCCGGCGACGATGGAGATGACAAGGTGAAGGTGGACGATGAGGAGAGTGATGATGACAGGGGCGATGAAGGTCCATTTTGCAATTTCCTCTTGTAGGACCATCTGGGTTCATTTGCCTGACCCTCTTCTCTCGTTAAATTATGCTTCAGACGCTTCACGTCCGACAACTTTACTGGCTTTATTATAAATTCCTCTGCACCTTCTTCTAAACACCTGCTCAAACAATCACAACCAAAAGTAGTTTGTTAATAGTTATATTCTATGTCTTCTCCACCTCCACTAGCTCTACAGAGTACACAAGTTCAAACAAAACCATCAAAACAAAATCCGAAGCAGCATGATCACTAGATCACCTTTCTGATTTTTTCTCAAAACAAAGCTAAATGACTCTCTATCTTCCTCTTTATCAATAACTCTTACTCGGTCTTTCTTAAGCAGAGTTAATACTTTTACACTTTCGAAAGCAAGAACGGGGAGAAGAGATTAATAAGAAAGCAGAGGATAGGTAGAAAATACCTGTCAATACGAACCAAGGTGTTTTCGGACGACATGATCGCCAGAGAATGGTTCAAAAGAAAATTAAATCTAACCTGTATTTTCTTGAGCAGTTCATATCCGGTCATCCCTGGCATACAATAATCGGTGATAACCATATTCACCTTCAACCCCTACAATTAATAGAAAAGAAACGAAACAGGTAAGCCACTAAAACAAAACAAAATCTAATGGAGAAACCATGCAGAGCCATGTATCAACTAATTTCACTTGCATCTAATCCAACAGAGTTCTCCCCATCCAAACTTAAAAATTGCAGAGCTCTCCTTCCGCTATCCACCGCGGTAACGATTTCAACTACTTAGGTATTAGCTAACTAAAACAAACCATGACAAGTATGAAGAAGAACCAAACAAAACAACATTCCGAGGAATGCTTGTCTGCTAGTTGCAACAACAAAAATACAAAAGTGAATGGTTGTCTTCTAGTTACAAAAGTGAAAATTTCTGATTAGTACTTGTATTTTGGGTCTAGTGTTATTTTGGTCTTTAAATTTTAAAACGTGACAATTTAGTACATGAATTTCCAAAATTTGTCAATCTAATACTTGTTGTTTACCAATTTGTTAACCAGCTAGTAAGTAACATTTGAAAAGACACAAATGCCTTTTGAGTGTTATCTAATTTTTTTTTATCAATCATCCACATGTTAATAAAAATAAACAGATCTTTGCCTCTTTTATTCATGAAAGTTGGGGTTACGTTTCAGTGTGCATTTTAGCGACTCCAATTTTCTTGAAAAAAAGAGGCAAAGATTTAGGACTATTCATTTTTTATCAATGTTTGGATAGTTGATAAAGAGAAAAGACACTCAAAGGGTATTTCAGTATTTGTGTCTTTTCAAATGACACTTAACGACTGATTAATGGCAGTTATTAGATATATGTTTGGCATCGATGCTGCATATGAAAACAGTGATGCTGTGGATTGGAAACACCTTTTTTGATAAAATGGTATCTTTTTTTTGTTTGGAAACATTGTTGCAAGGTAGGACATTTTCTGAAGTAATAACAATGTTTTTTATTTGATATCAATGTTTCAAGAAACATTGGTATCTATTATCTAGTGCCACATCGTGCCCCTGTCAGTGCCACATCATGCCCCTGTCACTGCCATCTCATATCCCTATTGACAATAACAAGCTGCTGCTTCAAGAATGCCTAATTGATGTTGCTCCAAACTATGTCTTTTCAATTTCCAAGCTATGGTTTAGAATACTATTTTTTATGAAAAAAACAATTCCAAATAAACAAATATTTTCTGAAGCATCAATCTTTTCTGATAGGACACTGATTTATCACCGTTTTCTAAAACAACGGCAATAATGCCCCACGTTTTGAAAATTCAGATAATTATGTAGTTTCAAAATTCGGGGAGCAAAGTGAACACTTAGAAAGTACAGATTACTAATCTGGGTCTGGGTCTGGCCGAGTACCACCGCCTCAGTCCTCTGGTCAACGTGTTACCGGTCTGATAGATATCTGAAAGTGTCTCGGTCTGAATTCAGATAACGGTACACTTACTATTACAGACTCGACTCCAAGTGTAGGTAAAAAGTGTACTTTTACCTTTTTGTGCAATGTACAGTTCCTTTGACAATAGTACCTTTTTGGTCTCCGGCTGGAGCGGTGGCCCTCACGAAAATGATCTAACGTTGCTTACACAAGGATGCTTTTTTTGGAAAGAGAGAAGATGTAGCATTTTTCAAGGGCATATCCCTGAATTTGCCACCTCAATACACAACACTCAGATGCGAGAGACCGACCTCAATACACAACACTCAGATGCGAACGAGACCGGATCTTCTCATCACACAGGACGCCTCACACAGATTTACACACAACACTCAGATGAAAACATCTCGCGTATTTATAAAGGGAGAATGACTGATTAACCCAGCCTATTAATTTATAGACCTAAAGTACAATTAAAGTGGACGTCACTTCGGAATTAATGTCAATTCACAGATTTTTAACCTTTTAAAATAATTCTGCAGTGAAAATAAAAAATCTGTACGGTAGATGTGCCTGTAAAGCGCCCATGTGTGAGGAGCAGATCCCATTCCGATGCGAACAAGTCTCGATAGGACCGAGGACATTGGGGAATAAATGTGACACGGACACCCGAAGGGAAACGAATATCAGACGAAATTTAATTAAATCAAGAACCCCTTGAATTTTAATAAATAACAGTTGATTAGTTTAGTTCTATAATATTAGTTTTCTAGGTCTCAAGCCTTTTCTCTATGATTGTCCACTCAAGTATCAAGAGATTGAATAAAGCTGCTGCTACCAAAAACAAAGTTCTGTAAATGGGTAAAGGCCCACAACACAATCCAATACCACGCCGGTTGAGTATTCATCGCTCGAAACTTGAACTCAGGTTCTCAAATCCAATCAAAAATTAAAACAGGATATACAACTATACTTCTCGGTCTAAAATTGGCAAAGACGTAAGAATCCTTGTAAAAATCTTCACCTCAAATTGCAACAACAGTATCCAAACCAAACAAAAACTACTTGGGGCCAATGTCCTTGAGAGCACAGATCTGTTCTTCTCCCATTGCAGACATTACAGTCACAACAAGGTCCTTCCCCTCAGCAAAACCTTCTTTGATCTGCATTCCATAAAGACGTCCATAAAAACTTTTGAGCTAGGAAACTTTAACCGATACTTCAGTGGGAGAAATAGGCAAACAACATTCAATCTACAGGGAACTTGATGAGAAAATTTTTCTAGCATACAACATGAATATTGTGCGTTTAACACAATGATAACGAGACCACAAATAATAAACAATAAATCAAATACTTTATATTCCATGCAGAAACTACAAGGTAGAACCTAGATCATCCTAGAAATTCCAAAACAGTAATATAATAATGCAATAGATATACTCTAGCAAAGACAAGTATCTCAAAGAAAAAGGGGAGGAAATTGGGAAAAAACCACAAGTTGCTAAAGTAACTTACTGAGGCAAGCAAAGTTTCATCAGTAGGGAGTCTCAGATCATCCTTAGTGTTGCCACTTTCAGTCAACAGACTCACCTGATGCATTTAATATATAATCAAAATAGAGATTCATAAATGATGGGAGAACTAAGAAAAGAGGGGGAAAATCTGGGCATACAAATCCATCTTCAGAAATATCAATCAATTGGTAGTCAGTACGAGAGACATGGGGAACCTGCACACAGGCACAATAACGTGTTAATCCTGCAAAATCTGCCAAATGCAAATGAGTAAGACGATAAAATTACACAAAATTGCACCAACAAAGTACAGTCCTTACATCACAGTTATGGGAAGATGGCACAATATCTTCAAGCTTCTTAGCGTTGAAAATATCAATTCCAACAAAGTGGCACTTAGCATGACCATGCTTGCCAGTCTTGGAAGTTGAAACCTCCACAACCTGTAAAAAAAAACATTCATCTAAGTTCATAATATGAGGGGAGGAGGGGCCATTGCTTGATGTAATGGTAAAATTTGGGGCTGACAAGTGTGAGAATGCAGGTTGAGCATAATAGAAGCCACTTCGAGTGAAAAAAATGCCAAACATTAGGTCTGTATCCACTCTGCCCCTCCCGAGACCCAAAAGAGTTTGGCACGTTGGCGTTTTTTTTTAGAATGCTAGGTGAGGAAAAAAAGAGACATGCTTAAATATTTCAACTTGGTGATCGAGAATAGTCAAGGCAAGAGAATCATGAAAACTGAGATTATCTATAGGCATATAAATATTAACAAAATTTCAATTGTAATATGCAGTCCACAAGTACAATAGCATAATGCATGATACAGAGTACAGATCAGGCCACTCAGACAGCCTGACTCATGACATAAATTGGTCACATAATTCCCATTTTCAGCTTCAGATTACAAACTCTATTTAATTGATCAATATGCCCGCAAAGCAAAAGTATTGAAATGAGCAAAAATAAGATCATGATAAGAGTGATAAATATATAAAAATATTGATGTCTTACTAACTTAAATTACTAAATAGTATATTATTATAACTGAGAGTAAGAGCCAAATGGGTCAACCCAAAGAACATCGAGGCTACAGTACACCATTACAACCAAAATGATTAAATAATACAGCAAACACGGATAGGCAGAAATCTAAAATCGAAGAACATGGAAATAGTGACAAACTAACCAAAGCAAATATCCGTATAAACACCAACATTATGCAGGGTAGAAAGCATAATCAAGAAAAACCATGAGGAAGGAAAGCGTTGTCCTGTAAGTTACTTGGAAGAAAAAAAAAACACAAAAATCTGCACAATAAAACTTGATGCAACAAAATCAAGAATAAAAGTGCCATGAAAATAATCAGTTCAGTTAAAAAGCCAAAAAAAAAAATACTGGGGAGAGAACACCTGAGAAACCTCAATTATAAATATTAGGTGGGGAAACATAGAACCGCATGTGAACCAGCAATAGGAACACATAATCCAGCAATGCAAAAAATGCTATAAGAAAACTACAGTAGTTGTATGAAATCGAAGGATAGGCAACTGAAACAACCAAAACGAAACAAGACCAACATCAACAGAGGTCACAAAAGATCATTACTATAAACTGAAAACCCTAAGAACCCAAAGAAATCAAAACCTCATTATTGGGAGAATAAACTAAAAAACAGGAGAAGAACTCATCAAGGATCTAGCGAAAATCCAATATCCCAGATCTATAAAGAGATACAAGTATTAGGAATGGATGAAAAAAAAAAAAAAAAAACCTTGCAGGGTCTTCCTTTGATGACAATGTATCCGTTCTTACGGATGGTCCCGGCCTGCTGAGGATATGTCTTTGAAGCTCCGGCATCGGCCTTCGACTCGAAGTCGTGGTCTTCGTCCGACATGACTGAACTTTGGTGTTGTGTTGATACAAAGAGAGAAAAGAAAAGTTGCAGAGCTCGAGAGGCGTAGAAAACCAACAAAAGTTAGATCAGCTTATATAAATATAAATATATAATTATTTATCTATTTTTCTCTCTCCTCCTTTTTCTCTTCAAACTAAAAAAAGCATGATTCCGGGAGTCTAGGGTTTCATTTCATGGAACTCTCGCTCTCGCTAGTCGCTGCAAACCTTTTTGCGTCTGTCATTTTTCACCGTTAGATCCCTCCTCTCGTGGATGGTAAGATTGCGAAGAATAACTACTGCATTATAGCTTATAAAGAGAGCCCTGAGACATTTGATCACATCTATGGTTCAATAGGAATATTTGAGACCCGATCTGATCCAATCAAACGGTCAAACCATTACAGTCGTTCATCAGCAACATCTCTTAAGACGGGAGCGGATTAGCTGGAGATGGATGAACTACCTATCACGGGTCTACAGTGAGAACTGACGTGTTCAACCGTGATAGACAATTTAGCCGGGTGTGTATGATTTTGCCTCCAGCTCATCCGGATTGTATCAGAACTTCCATAAATAATAACAAGAGAGGTGTTCCCGATGTATGGTGTAATGGCTTGTTGGGATGATTGTCGGAATCAGACCTGAACTCAGAATCTTTTCTCCTCGCTCGAATTAGAGTTGGAAACTCCTTCCAACAAGAACTGCCCCTATGATGATTTTGTGGGCTTTGACTCGCACTGTCCCAACAGCCTTTTTGCAACCTTGCATGGGAATATAAGCACATGAATAGAGAGATATTCCCAATACAAGGCTGTAAAGACTGCCTGAACGGGTGTTGCCCGAACTCGATTTTGTATTTCACATCTCAGTGAGAGTCACTATAAAACTGGGACCACCAGGTATGAGATTGAGATGTGCAGACACACATCACGCAGATCACGTTGAGACCAGGGCCGCCATCAGACTGGGATCACTATGTATGTATAAAATTGGGGCCACCACGATAAAACTGTGAAGACAAGATATTTTTACATGCATTTCGCTTTTGGGCCAACTTGAGAGGAGACCAGGAGATCAGAACCCTAGGTTAGTAAATTACACATCCCTAGCTATTAATTAGGGGTTAAACTTGGGCCGGCCCAACCTAAGTCTGGATCAACGTAGCCCACAATTATGCATAGGATGGGCTTGGGTTTTCAATATTTAAGTTGTACTTGGGTTCAAAAGTTAGGACTTTTTTAATTTTTTTCAGACTAAGCATAGGCTTAAATCTTAAGTAGCCCAAGCCCAATCCAACCATGTCTCAATCAAGCCTGCAGACATACATATATGCATATATAAAAACATAATTACATTTTTTTTTTTGGTATTACAGAGAGAAAACAAAACAGTACAGACACAGAAGAAATAGGGTCTAACTAAAGCCTTGGTTTGCCAGGTCCCTGTAGCCATTTTGGGCAACCAGAGGCAAAATTCCTAGACTCTTTTAGACCCCTCTTGGCCAAATCATGGATACATAGAGTTCAAATCTTCCCCCACATAATGCGCCCCAAAAACATCCCAACCATGCATTTGGAACATCTTCTAATGACAAGTATGGGAGATGTTCTCAATGCACGCTGAAATGTGTATGTGGGGTGTTTTTGAGGTACATTCTTTGAGGGGCAAATGTGAACTTGGATACATGAATACATGCATTTATGCATAGGGTAGACCTAGATTGGGATAACATTCTCAACATGGAAAGAGTGATTAGGATCCGTGCACAATTCCATAATTTCTGGAAAAAAGAAGAGAACTACCCTGCCCTTTGGGGGTAGTGATACATAACTCCCTGACCATTCATTTGTCATACATGGCTATCCTATACTTCTATTCCAATACCCTATTCTTGCCATTAGCACTATACCAATTTTGAACTTTTATGAGACCATTTTGCCTTATTTATTGCATATCCAAAACCCAAATTTTGAGCTTTTTCTTAGAGACCTACTAGCATGTGAAATGAATAATGCTTTTCATATATATATATAAGTGAAATGAATAATGAAGCGAGATGCATGCCAATTGAGGGGGTGTGATCACAATTCGCTTTTAAAGTAAAGTATTTTCACATGCTAGCATTTGCCATATTCTTATTATTATTTTTTTTCTTTTCATGTGTTCAAGAGAAAGACTTAAAGGAGAGCTACAAAGAAGTAGAGTGTCCACCATTGTTGGTTCTAACCAGTTCAAAGAACTCATAACATCGTTTTGTTTACTTTCTGAACAATGGAGAGAGAGAGAGAGAGATTATAACAGTTTAAATATTGAAAGTGGCAGGAGATAGAAGTAGAGATTATAACATGCTCTAGGAAGAGAAAAAAGGTTCAAAACTTGGATTTTAGAGTTGCAATAATAGAAAAGGCAAAGGTGGCAGGATATCGAAGTAGAGATTATAACATGCTCTAGGAAGAGAAAAAAGTTCAAAACTTGATTTTAGAGTTGCAATAATAGAAAAGGCAAAATGGTCTCATACAAGTTTAAAACTAAGGCTATGTTTGGTTTGTGGGATGGGGATGAGAAAAAGGGAATATTCTAAAAATATTCCTTTTTCTCATTTGTTTTGAGGGAAATAGAGGGATGGGATGAGAAAAATGTGGGATTTCAGATCCCAAAATCGTGAATTTGGGGTTGCACCAAAACCGTGCGATTTCGATGGAAAAAATTGAGAAACCACTATTAGAGAACCAGCGAGGATGAACGGAGGAGGGAGAGAACCAGTGCCTTCCCCATTACCATCGGCAATCTGCTACCTCCCCTTCCCTGTTCAAACCTAGAAACAAAGCAACGGTGGCGGCACCCCCTCTCAGCCACTCCCTTCCTCCCTCTCTCCTCTCTCCTCTCTTCTTCTCTTTCTTCTTCTTCCGTCTTTTGTTTTTCACCGTTGATGAGTAGGGTCGAAGACTGCTCTGTATACAGTCGATGAGTAGGGTCTCCATGGCTTTAGGAGATAGAGGTCGATTTCGAACCAGTCCAGATGGGCTTTTCTTTGGGGCTTTAATTCAAAAATCAGGTGGCTCATGTGATCTTCTGGTCTTCTCGACATTGTTCATCGATTTCGAACCAGTCCAAAAGCACTGTTCATCGTCTTCTCGACAATGAACACAAGAAATACCAACGACGGTGACCAGGATCATTTACCCTCTAGTACCTCTCTGTTCATCGTCTTCGCTTTCCGTCGACAAACTACTGTTCATCTTCCTCTTGGTGAAATAGAGCACCCCATTGTTCATTGTCTTTGCTTTTTGCCGGGGAACTACTATTCGTCTTCCTCTTGGTGAAACAAAGAACTGTTCATGGTCTTCCCTTTCCTCTCGCCACAATGCTTTTCTTATTATTTTCACATATATAAAACCAAACAATGAATGAGTAAATTTTTACACATTCCCATCCCACCCAAATCTTCCCACAAACCAAATGAAACCTAATAGAATAGGAAAAAAGTGTTAGATTCTAAAAGGCATAGAGTAGCTCTTTGTGGCAAATGAAAGTTTCGGGACGAAGTGTCATTACTCAATAGTACAAGGCACGTCTCTTCCATAAATGCGAGGTGCTGTAATGACTAGTGAGGTTAGTGCAAGAGTGCATGGGCATGCACAAAATAGAATGCCTTTCTATCCATGAGATTGATCCCGTCCGTACCTACTTTGTGAGCGATGTTTCGAAAGCAACTCGACCAAAGTGCATTGTCATTTTAGGTCAGGTTGGTTAGACTTCTCCTTTGTATTGGAGTTGTGTTGTGGATAGGAGCCTAGATCTGCTGACCACAAAACATTGGCCACAAGAGACTACAATCACATATTGGAAACATCTATATTAAACTTTAATAACTATTATTCAATGGGGGAGATATGTGGTTGTAGTGTACATAAGATGTAGCTAGTAGGGTCATGGGATGCATACTATTTGTATAGACAAACAATGTTGTTTTTGGTACTATTGTTACTTTTACTTGTAACGCTTTTGGTTTGGTTACTACAAAATTTTGAGAAATTGTCTCATCACATCATATCATATAACTATTTTCACTAAAAATAATATAGGCATTAGATTGGGTATTGGCATTTATAATAGAAACACAAAATTTGACATTTCCTCAAGAAACACCAATGGTACAAATGTTGTATTGATAAATCAAAGCATTTATGATAGGAAAATATATTCTTGTTACTACCAAATTTGGAGCCAAGGGTAGCTTGATTACTTCCAAGTTGAAATAGTTGTGGTTCCAAGGGCAATTAGGTCACTTTCAAGGTGAAGTAACCAAGGGTCCTACCTATAAGAGTCAATAAACATCAGAGGCCCTGAGATGTGGTCCCAAGGGCAAGGACTTTGATGATCAAGTTAGCCGAGGTCTGTAGGATAGCCAAGGTCACAGTAAGCAAGAGAGCTAAGAGCTTAAGTGTGCAAAAGAGAGGATACCTTTGACTATGGTGCCCTTTTATAGCCGGAGTTGCCTAAAAACCCAGTAGTGGGTGAGAGGTAACAGTCATGTGAGTTACAGACATGAATACGAATGTTATTGGGGCGAGATCCTAGTGGTTGAGCGTTACCCCATCATTGATGCGCCGGGAAAGAATCCGGTGAGATCATAACACTTGTAGTAAATGCTGTCACAGTAATGACCCCTGGAAGTTACACTATTGCCCTTAGCTGAGGTCGAAATGACAAGATTGTCCCCAGGATGTGTGCCATGTGTCATCATCCAATGGAGTGGTCAATTATACCCATGTCAATTCTCATAAAATTTGTATTGATTGACATAAAACATTGCAAGTATAAGTGGCAATGGTACCAAACACAACCTAAACAATCATCACAATTCCAAACCAGTAATTTACAAGTATATATAAAAATGGGAGTCCAAAAATAGTTTATTTTCTTAATTTTAACATTATAGAACTATATATAGAAAAAAGAATTTGCAATATTATTATTATTGTCCTTTAAGAGATATTCATGCTGTACATATACATCAACTATTCATTTATGTCAAATAAGACAATAGATGAAAAGCAAATGCCATGTAAAAATGTCCTCAAGGCTCAGTTTGGAGAGAGTGCAAATCTATATATATATATATATATATATGGAAAGAGGAAAGAAGGGAGGTAAAGGTCCTCTCACCAAAGAGCTCACTCCTCCTCTCCTTTCTCACACATGTGCATATTTAGTTTTATATTAAATCATTAAAAACCTCCTAGGTCTTTATTGTCTCTCATAAAATCTATATTTACTCTCTAATAAATCTCTCTCTCTCTCTCACACACACACCTTAATAGTCAATATTTATAACATCTCCCCTCCCCATTAAATCCTTGTTTACCCAAACTTTCTTAGGCCATTTTTCTCCAAACCCCACCTCTTTTACTTCCCATCTCATTTTCTTGTTTAACTCCCCCCCACCCCGCAAAGAAAAGTCTTGGCTCTGCCAAGTTTTTCCCTTTGTTTATTATTATTTTAATTTAATATAGATTTGTTTAATGGATTCTTATGGTTCAATAATAAAATGTAGTAAGAAAGAATTTAATGTGAGTTTTTTATTATCTTGATTAGTTCAATTTTGAAATTGTTTTTTTTTTTAACTTGGTTATTAATCTCATGTTTGGCTCTATAGGGCTACACAATGCCCCAACCCAAGTCTTTGCCATGCCACAACTAACTAGATAAGATATCAGCTGAGCCACCATTGGTTTATGTGTTCATAATATATAAGCTATATAAAAAAGAAAATTTGAAACTCAATAACCAAAAAGGAAAAGATTGTTTTTACTATTATACATGTAAAAAAAGTAAAAATACAACATCCTTTGCATTGCATGGGTCACCATTAATATAAATATGTATAGTAGAAATACAAGGATTAGAAAATAACATACACTGAGCGTGTTTATATTTGTACTCTTCACAAATGGAGCCCATGGGATCAATGGAATGTCAAAATCTGATGTATGTCCGATGTAAACACATAGTCCATGTACAGGCACATAGACACATAGCCATCTATGCAGGACGCTGCCTGTATATGTGTGAGATGGATGAATACATTTACCCCGATGAAATGCAAAAGAGGGGCTAAATAGTAAATAGGAACATTATGTTGCACTGGGTTGCTGCAAATTAAAAATTTAAAACCATGTGCTCCAACTTCCAGAATTCAACATAAAACAAGTTCATATTCGCTTCGGAAAAAAAACAAATTCATGTTACTTTTTTTTATTATTAGTACAAGTTCTTACCAAATACCAATTGAATCTGGGTAATATGACATCTGGGCTCAGTTTGGAAGGAGTGCAAATGCAAATATATAGAGTGCAAAACCTAGTATTTTATATTGTTTTGTATGTATTTGTACTGTATATATTTGTATTTATACTCCTTCCAAACTGAGACCAAATAATGCAACCATCCATTGGAATACATAATTCAAAGGGAGACCAGGTAGTGAACGAAAATTCCAATATATACAAATGACCTTAGGAATTAGGAGTCCTAAGGATCCAAGATCTGAACTACTACAGTCGTGGACTTCTGCTACAAGAAAATATTTCCATCTGATCCTAGATGTTTAATAAAAGAAGGGTAAAAAAGGAGAAATGAGCAGAAGAATAAAAACATTAAAAATTACTGAGTTTTGTCATTGGGAATAAAGAAATCAAATTTGACATCAACAGAACCAGAACCCTCCCCAGTATCTTTGTACTCTATGCTTGTTATTGCCCCCAACTCATCCTCATCTTGATATTCAGGTTTCACCCGCCGGACTGGCACTGTGACAGAGTACACAGTCCCAAGATCTGGATCTGTTGAGACACTGAGCTGGACTTTATCCTGTGAATCAATCTCCACAAAATCAGATAAAGCACCCACAATGTTCTTCACAATCTTCTGCTTTGCCTCATCACTAACTGCACATCTATCAGAAAAGAGGATCATCTTCAAGCGTTGCTTGGCAATCTTTGCGTTAGAGTTCCTCCTTGTAATTGGTGGTAGGAACAGTATCCTCCAGGCCAAGTTTAGACGCTCAAATAAGTTCATATTTATTGCATTTAGGAGGAAACCCTCTAGTTCTTGGTTCAACGTTTTGGAAGAAAACCCATTGTCATCTCTGATACCAAAAGTACGGTGATTATAGCATTGAATCTTGTGACCTTCAAGGGCTATGAGGGGACATCTGGGTGTAAGTTCAGAAATATGAGATCTCCCATTAAGGAAACCACTGAATGGCACCTGCAAGACGCAATAAGATGAAAAAGAATGAATTCTTTGGTGTCAGTAGGACAACAAAAAGGTGATGATATTCCTTGTGTGATTTGAAAAAATAACATTAATGTCATATAGGAATTAATGCTACCCCCCACCCCCCGGTCTTGTGTAGCCTCTTCTGGTTTTCTAAAAAATAAGAAAATAACATTAATGTCATATATGAATTAGTCATCCATGGTACAAATGAAAATCATCTCTAACACAACTAAAATAATTTCATCAGATACGATTCTAGGAAAGCTATTGAATGAATGAACAGGTAGAAAAATGACACCATCTGTATGATATGATAACATGATGCACAGATAGCTTCCTGTTAATCATTGAAAGAACTTCAAATGATATAAAATTATAAATAGGCTATTTAACAATAAAACTAGGATAAAATGATGCAATATCTCAGGAAATCATATGAACAGTTCACATGCTTGGGCATTTAGGCTGCAATAGGCAGTCCTTGAAAGGACTTTTCTCTGTTCTCGGCTAGGATAAGAAAACCCAATAACATTCATTTGGTAGATATCAGATATAAACCTTTTTTTTTAACCCAAAAGGAGCAATTTGCAGATATGAAAAAGGATCAACTTATTTGGATCTGAGTTTTCAGAACCCTTTTTCCAGAAATAACCTCATATTTTTCAATATAACATGAAATTCCCCCTTAGATATGAAATTATGCTGAGAAGGATTCTCACAAACCCTACAGAATCCACAGTCCACACATAATACTTATAAGAATCCATGCCTAACAATTGCAAAAAGGGAGCTTCATGTGTTTTATCTGGTAAGAGATACCTCACGCATGTCCCTGTCCTAGGGATGCAGATTCGAATAAGGGTATATTCGAATCCGATCTGATACACTATCGATCCGATCCAATCTGATATCATTTTTAAAAAATTAATAAATTATTAAAAGAAAAAGAAAATATAACAGTTTAAATAAAGAAAAACAAAAAATGCAAGTATTCTCAACTATTTTTATCATATATATACATGCTTTCTATAAATAAATAAATAATATAAAAAATTTACAAAAATGAAATATAAATAACATATTATATATATATATATATATATATATATGGATCAGATCCTTTCGGATCGGATAGGGGATGACCCAAATCTGAAAAAATAGGATCCAATGTTAAAATCTTATGATTTACGATACGATTCATGATTTGAATCATGAATCCCAACGGTTTTGATTTGAATCATGAATCCCAACAGTTTTGATTTGAATCTTATGTTTGAATACTTTTCTACAAAAATTGTAAGATTTTTGTTTGAATCCTATGATCTGAATCATAAATCTTACAATGTATACAATTCTTGCGATTCAAATTAATTCAATTAAGAATTAGTTCTCTACTTTGTCATTTTATTTTGTTAATATTTAATTTTGTCAAAGGTGACTTGTACTAAATACCTTACTACAAATTGACTTATTTATGTTATTTAAAACCATATATTGAGTTTATTTTCCAACATATGTAGGATAAAGAGTCATTGTATGTGGATTATTTAACTTTCAAGTCAAATTTGATTATATCATCTTAGACTTCTATTGTATAAGTGGTAAATTCTATTGATTTAGGTACATACATGGTAGATATAGATTAAAAACTGGGTAGAATCACTTTACTATATATCGATTCATGATTCGATTCGATTCAATCTTCTCTACAATTTACGCTACAATTACGATTTTCATAACATTGATAGGGTCGAACTTCGGACCGGATCGGATCATGACCGATCCATTTGCACCCCTACTCTATCCAACGAATATATTTTACTGTTTTTTAAAAGGTAAAGTAATATATTGTATTGATAAACTAACCCACCCAAAAGTTTACAGAAGCCCATGTACGTACGATGGTAGGGGTGGAACTTGAGCGGGTTAGGATTTGGATTTTGTCAAAATTTCAATACACCCAACCCAATGCTCTAACCTGAAATAGGGTAAAATGTAACTCGGGCCAACCTGAGTTGCACCCCTTTACAGTGGGGATATACAAAACAAAAAGAAACAAAAAGAGATACAGCATTCAAAAAGAGATAAGCTGGACTCCCAAAAAAGGTTTTTGTATGCTTAACTAGGAATAAAACAGTCCTTTTAAGTTGTTTCTTATTGTATCCATATCTGAATGCTTACTCAAAAACTATGCATATTTCTTTCTCTACACTGTCCAGATAATAGCGGCAGGTAAAATCCCCATAGCTCCAGAACTGTTTCCGGAAGACAGCATTTGTAATGCCAAAGTCCATAAATGACAAGAGAGTTTACAGTAAACAAGAAAGTGATTTGAAGATTCTGAGCATTAATTGCATAAGGAGAAGGTATCATTGTCCACAATCATTTCTCTTTTTTTTTGAAGAATGATAATTCCTCTTATTGGAATTTTTATTGTTTTCTTCTCTGTTCTTCCTTTTTCTTTTCCATTGACCAGGGGAACTAGTTGTTTTTTTTTGGAATTTTTGTCGCAACTAAGAAAATGTTGGAGATTTAGAACAGATATTGTGTAAATTTGTCTTCCTGCCTCCATTTTGCTCTGCTTTCATCCTTACTGTTTCTATAATTTTCTAGGCATTTCATGGATTAGTTCTGCACTTTTTGGTGATACACTCTAGGGGTTTCTTTTTGAATCCCAGCAAGGCCCCTTAGGTTAGGGCCATTTTTTAGGCTCCTTGGTCTGAAAAGTTGGATCTGACTTCTGATCTCAAATTGCTGCATTTATTGGTGGGATTTAGCATTCTCACGGCCAAGCTCATGAGTCAACTTGTTGGCATTCTGCATCCAACCACAATGTAGTAATTTCAAGTTCTACTTGATCAAAGAGCTCTAATGTAAAGTTGTCAACACTAGATATACTGCTTTGCATCCAAAGTTGTTTGGTGTTCTAATGACCATATCAGCGTATGCATCCTCCACTGGGATGTTCCTTGCATTCCAAAACAAAGTCATAGGTCTAATTACATCTTACAACATTTGCCACCAAATGGACTACATCGGTAAAAACCCCTAAATAAAATCATGAAAATATGATTTCTGGTGGATCTAAATTGCAACGTCATGTCCTGTTGTAAATAGTATAGGATGAAAAAAGCACCTGAAAAAGGACCAAGAGCAACTGGCCAAATAAAACCAAATTAAATCTCTCAAATTTCATCCAGCAACTACTATCAAATCTTGGAAGGCCTTAGCATTTTCAGTCAGTCACTTCTTAAGGCAGGTTCTAATACCCATGATTTTGTAGCTGGTATAGTTACTTTAGTAAGAAACTTGCTAACATCTCAAGCAGGGCCCAGAAAGAAGTGATTCCTTCCCTAGCATGGTTTTTAGATGCAACATGCTACATAGAATCACAAGGACAATGTTGATATTTAAAATAGAATAACTTTTCTTACCAATGTTACCAAATGCTTGGTTCTCCTTATCATCTTATCAAAGATAAGGAGCATTGGTAAATGAGGCTCACCAAATGCCCTTACCTAACTTTTTAAAGGGAACATTTCAAACTGGACTATTTTAAAAGTTCAATAAGTTGCCTTAACTGACTGACAAACACAATATTGGTATTATTTAATAATTAATATGAAGGGTTACACTTGGACAGGCATAATGCCATATCATGCATATTGAGGAGCACATTACAAATATCCATTCAAAAGTTGAAGCACAATTATAAAAATTCATGAATACATTGAATACATTTATATATCACTCACTGACCTATCCTATTTGTTCATCTGAATAAACATAATACCTTACTCCTTGAACACATTTCCTGCCATCCAAATCTTCTAGTTAATTAACTGTGCCAAACACTTAACAAAGAGGAGCTTCTCCTATTGAGTGGATTTAATTTACTGAAGGTTGGACCATGACTTCAATATACAAATATTACACCAACCCTTACTTGAGTGCCCATATGACAACCTTTTATTATTATTTTTTGATAGGTTATGACGACCTTTTATTATTGCTTCTAAGTGGTGTTTGACACTATATCTATGATTATGTAAAATAGGAAGACTCTGATTGCCCCTTCACCTTTAAATGGCATTTTCAGATTGCCATTTATCCATTTTATTGGGAGGGGGGGGGAGGTAAGATTTTCACATTCCAAGGAAAGCCAAATTCTGCAGCTCATGTCATAACCAAGAAGACCCTTGCTACAAATCTATATTTAGTGACCTTTATTTGGCTCCACAACTAATCGAATGTATTTATTGGGATGTCAATTCCTCCCCCTGTTTGAATGGATGTCTTGGCCTTTTTTTTCTTACCAAAAAAAAAAAAAGAAAGGAAAAAGTAAACTGGAATCCTTGTGATTTTCTAACTAACACTGAATACAAGCAACCAAACAAAAACATGTACTCTTAATCAAGGATATATAAGAATATGGGGGGCTTTTTTTGTTTTGTTACTTTATTCCACGTTTTGAGCAGAAGGGTGGGTTTAGCATTGCCTTCATCAAGATGTAATGTGTTTCATCTTTAGAGTCATGGCTTAAAGGTAGAAACTCGAAAGCATGCATACGAAAACAATGAGGCACACAAAAAGTAGGAATTAAATTCTGATAACCAAACAATCAATTCTTAAAATGATCAAGTTCACAGGCATCAACCATAAAGGAACTGCCACGTGAACTGGATAAATAAATCTGAAACCCACAACAAACATTGCAGAAATATGACCCCGAAGAAAACCTCACAATTTAGTGTTTCTTCTATTTAAAGAAATTTAGTCGATTTGGGAACACAGTGGAAAGGGAGTTCTCTCTGTTAACCAAAGAAGAGAATAGGCCCAATATGAACCACCATAACAACAAGAAAATCAGTTCTTCGGCAGACCAATATCTAGAACAAAATTATAGACAAAAACTCAAATAATACCAACATAGGTGACAGAAATTTATTCAGCCAAGATGCCTTTTTATTCTTGAAATCCCTTGTCCCTCTTCTGATATAGACAACGAGATTAACAACATCCAAATAATAATCTCATAAATTTTCAATTCATGTCAACTCTGACGTGATGCAAAGGCTAGAGGAATCCTGAAGACCTTAATTACATTTGCATAATAAGCTAAATAAAAAATACAGATGGGGAAAGAATTGAGATCTGGCCAAGAAGTTATTCGTCATAGAGATAGAGTATCATGTTCTAGCTATTTAGTACTAAACTGAAGAAACACCCAATAAGTAGAAGCACAAATGTGAGGCAGAAAAAAGAAATCAGCTCTAATAATACCCAGCATCTATCATGTTGGATCATAAACCATACGAAAACCCTGAAAGGAAATGGTCATGCATCTGACTGGGAAGACTCTTTCTGGAATCTCAAACTCTACTGGTGGATATTGGTACATTTGCACAAAATTTGTTTGAGAAAAGTTGTCTTTCACAGAGGACTCTAAAGAGAGAGAGAGAGAGAGAGAGAGAAAACTAACCTTTGAGGGTGCAACGGACCGTCGAAAGGAGTGCGAAGGATAGGAAGCTAATGTGGCAGAAACCCTCAAATCTCCAGAAATCGCCATTGTCTCTCTTATACTCCTGCTGCTCTCACTCTGTGTCTCACTTTTTCTCTCTCAAATCTCTCAATCAACGCATTCCAACCTTCCTATTACTTCTGTTCTCCTCGCGCGACTTTTTCAGGGGTTTCCACTCTGTCACCAGCAGGAGTACCAGGAAAGAAAACCCATGGCCATGGGAATATGTGGTATTTTAGTAATTTAAAAATAAAAGTGAGGGCACTTTAGTCATAATAAGGCCCTATTAAATCGTTCTCTTCTCCGCTCTTCCTCCTTCCGGCTCTCTGGTCCTCTCAGCTGCCGCGAAAAATCTTCGGCGACGATGAGTAGGAAAGAGCATACGAGACAATGATAGGGTAATCATGGGGATCATCATCAATCATAGACAAATGATCCGAGCTTCCGATTAGAGAGAGAGAGAGAACAGTACGAATTAACGAAACTAGTTAAACAAGGGAAATGGGGAGATGGAAAGCTTGCCTTACTCTTAAAGACGTAATAACAAGATCTCCATCTGTTTCCCATCTCTCTCCTATGCCCCTCAAAGTGCCTCAAATATTACCCGCTTCGAGAAAAGGAATTCAACGGCTTGGGTTCAGATTTCTATCTTCTGCAATTCCATCCCCAAGCAATTTTTATGACAATGAATTTATTGGTGGGAATCTCGATTTTGGCCAGAAGAAGTACACCCTAGAACCTAAGGAAGAGGAGGAGGTCGGAAACATTCCTGTCAAAGCGTACTTTCTCTCTACCAGGTACCTTTTTTCTTTGTTTCTCGTTTCAGTGTAATATCTGAGTCTTGCTTTTCATGGTGTTTTTTTTTTTTGGTATATGGATTTTCATGGAATTTATTATCAGTTTTTTTTTTCAGTTTTCAGTTGCATTCACGGTTTTACCTGGATTGCCCCTTTTCTTTTATTTTTGCTTCTAGATTGATTTGTGATGTTGTTGTTAATTAGGCCTTTGTGATGATTTGGGGTCTTGCGGGAGTGCCCTTTATATTACTAGATCCTTTTCACAGTGTCTCGGTTATTGTTATGCGAATTTTCTGAAATACTCCTGCGTATAATTCTCCTTTTAGGTGGTGAAGAAGAGATGCCAATTCATTACCTGATGTTGAGTTTGCAGGAAACATCGGGCTTCTGCTTTCCAAAGCTGGCTGGCAAATTCCACCTTGCAACAGTAGTAACCAGTAATGCAAGGAGTACTTTTTATTCAATCAGCAGTAGAGGAGTTTTTAATTTTTTATTGTTGATTTCTGAACTTGAAGCTTCTGAAATAATAATGTTCATCTTGATTTCACAAATCACAATGCCCCTTTGGCCACTTTCAGTACTATTGCATTCAATGCCCTTACTTCTTGCAGACTGTTGTAGTTTCCAATTCAACTTCCTGTCCTCATGCATGTCCTAAAATTCTCTTATTACCATTCAAGAGTCAGTCGTTGCTTCTCTCTCCTACTTTAGGATTTCCCTTGAAGTTACCAGTGTTTCATCCACATATAGGCACTTTAAGGGATACGTTTACTTAGACAGATCAAGTAGTTGGCCACCTATGTAGATGGATCCTTTCTAACAGCAAATAGATTGCAAATTGACATGTATGGACAAGTTCCCGACAATGCACTCTAGAGAGATTCATCTTGGTCAAGTCTGCAATAAACAACAACATGATCTTGTATTCTCAGCCCAATGAAGGGGCTAAATTGTTAATTTGTAATACTTAATGAATTTAAGTCTCTTGCTGGTTGTAGCGGAGACTTGGATCGAATCCTGCCTGCACTAGGGTGGGGGGGGGGGGGCTCCCATTTTGGATGGGTTATATCAAAGATAAAAAAAAAGGTAGAATGCAAGATGATGACGTTAAAAGTTCTTTTAGGGGTATTTTAGTAAATCTCTATTTATATTGATAGACACAAGTATAAAATGGGTATTTTGACACGTTTTCCATTTGGNGGGGGGGGGGGACTATCCCCCCCCGTTGTGTAGCCCCATGGGTCCAAAAAAATACTTAATGAATTTAAAAAAGCTCAGTTATAAATTATTTTTATATGCTTCTACAATTGATTTTTCTTTCTTTCAATTAACCATTGCATTACTTTACATAAACTGAAACTAAAATTAAACAAGACCCTTGATTTTGTTTTATTTTTGCTGAATCTGCACGTATTAGTGTATTACACATGTCAGATTCCAAACTTATTACATGCATTTATATTACATGGTTGACCATACTTATTTTATATCATTAAAATATCTATATTTATAGGTGTCTTACTTCTCTCTCTCTCCACACACACACACACACTACATGCTTTTGTACTTTATGATTTGGGGCTTCGTCCCTACTCTCACCCCTCTTTTTCTGTTCTCTTTTTTCCCTCTTTATCATGTGGCTTTCTCAGATTCATGGTTTTGGCAGTATCGATTTGAGGAGCATGCAGGCCGAGAATGCAAGCAATGTTGTTCCTCCTACTTCTCGTTCTTCGAATTACATCGCCCTCAAATATTGCAATTTTCCTCAAAAAGTTACTGTAAGATGGATGTTGTATATGTGTTTTCATGTTTGCACATGTTGATTTTCTTACAAAAATAAAAGAAAATAGTATACTTTTTTTTCTTTTGGTGGTTCTTACTTTTATTATTCCCATTGGAGCACAAAACATGAGAGTGTAGGGACTTGGGACATGGTAAACTCTTGAACAATAATATTAAGGGCAGGGTAGGTTGGTTGAGTTGGTCATAAAGAAGAACTGACATGGGGCTTAAGTAGAACATTATAATAGGAAAAGTTCACCCTGGTGCCCTACAATTCCATGGGAGCCTGATTCTGTCATATTGGAGGAGATGCTATCAACCACTGAAGTAACGGTCATTGGTATATCCTTTAGTAGCTTTTCATTAAGGAATTAACCTCACTCCTATCCTTTATAGTTTTCTACCCCATGTCCTTCCAATGGCTTCATGTATAAGCTCCTCTTATGATCCTTGACTCTGCTTTTTAGGCATCCAAGATAAATTAAGATGCAAAGTTTAGGATCCTCCACAGGTGTGGATTGCCTTTTTTTCTTTTTTCTTTTTTCTTTTTTCAATTTCAACATTTTATAGATTTTTATGGGCCTATTTCCATATACAGTTGTTGTCTCAGTACTTTGATGGTCTAAATTTGCGTTTGTAGACTGTATGTGTATTAGGGGCAATGTCTACTGGGTTTATTGTAGAGTAAAGATACATTGGAGAGTCCCGAATTAGACCAATGGAATTCTTTCTGCTATAATAACAAATAAAATAAAGTGCTTCTGAATTGATCTCATCCTTTATTATTTCAATTTTTTCTTTTTTGTTCAGTAATAACTTACCCCTTCAATAAAATACCTGTTGTATCAATAGATATTTCGATCCATATCTACCTTAAATCCATCTATATGTTCACTTTCATGATTTTCTTTTCTGCATAAAGTGTTCACATTCATGAATTGTAGTTTTGTTTTGGCAAATGGCCTTTTATTATCATATTAATGATTTAACTTCTTATTTTAGGGTGTTGGAATTGAAGAAAAGGAAAGCTATTGCTGCTACATGGTAGTCTTCCAATATGGATCTGCTGTCTTGTTTAACATATCAGATGATGAAGCAGAGAGTTACCTAGAAATTGTTAGAAGGCATGCATCTGGGCTGCTCCCAGAGATGAGAAAGGATGGTAAGTATCTACTGTTTGTCTTTAAGGTCTATTTGCAAATATCAGCTCCATCTCTGCATATTCTATCTATTTCCTCATAAATTATCTTCTCAAGTGAATTCAAAAGCGTGCTTCAGAATTTGCAAATAATGTGAAAGTGCACCATGTGGAATGTGTGCATGTTATTAGGTTGGATTTTTATTTAGACTGTAAAGTAGATATGGATTTGGATATTTCCTCATGGGTACAAAATCTAGTTTTGCATTGTATGTGTGAATACTGGGCAGTATGGATATCAACTCCATCTCTGCATATTCTAGCTGTTATTGGAGAAAGGTCTATTTGCAAATACCAGTTGTATGTAGAACCTGCAGCATTTGTGGGGAACCAGTGTCAAGGATCTCTTTGTACTTAATTCTCTCTTTGATCTTTAGTAAAAATTCCAATTACTGATAAAATTCATTAAACATAAATGTCCTATTCAATAATGAGAAAATATGGATGCTGCTGTGACTAAATCGCAAGTTGTTATGAGAGCATTTAAAATTCCTGCAAACTCATTCAATGAATTTGAAAAAAAAAATGCAAAGGAACTTTATTTGGTCAAAATCTAGTGATAAGAAACCTCTCCATCTAGTTAACTGGAGGAGGATGTGCACCCCTAAAGAGTGGGGTGGGTGTGGGATTAAAAATCTCAAATAGATCAATAGGGCTCTTCTGGCCAAACTTGGGTGGAAGATCCTGACTAATAGAGATAATCTGTGGGTGAAGGTAATTTCAAATAAGTATCTAAAAAATTAATTTATCCTTATGGGATGCTTCCCCAAAAAAGGGGGTTTTGTGGGCCTGGAGGGGGATTCTTTCAATCCATGATCTGATGAAAAGAGGCATGGGGTGCGTCATTGGTGATGGCTGAAAAATTAAATTTGGGTCTGATAACTGGGCAGGAAATGACCCATTGATCAATGAGATTAACCGAGAAAGTGTTGATAATTTGGATATGCCTATTTGCAATGTCATTGACCAAACTGAGTGCGGTGTCTTATAAAACCAGTTCTTATTCCCTCTACCATTCGGGTGACCATCTTATATGGAGATTCACCTCTTCTGGTAAGTTTTTGGTCAGCTCCTTTTATAAAGAGGAGTGCAAGGTTAATGGAGTGAATGGATTGCATGATAAATCTCTGAAAAGTGTGTGAAATCTTAATCTTCCCCCAAACTGAAATTCTTTATGTTCGTAGTTTTAAGTTGGAAGCTCCCTACCAAAGTTCGTCTTCATAACAGAGGGTTAAATATTAATACCGAATGTTGTCATTGTGGTGAGGAGGAAAATTTAGAGCACCTGTTCCTGAAGTGTCCTTTCTCTAAACAGATATGGTGAAGTGTTGGGGTCAAGCTCCCCGACCTGAATGATTCTAACCAGTCATTTTGTTGTTGGTGGGATCAGGACAGGATGGTTATTGATTTAGCCAATCCAGATTGGAAAAAGGATTTCTTTGGTTCATTTGGAAGGTTAGGAATGAAAAGATTTTCAACAATATGAGCCCCTGCCCTCACTCTCTTGTTAGAAGAGCAGCAAGCTATGGGGATGAAATCAACTCTTCTAACTCCACCAGTGCTGATGTAAGTATTTGTAGAAGCTGGGTGCAGGTTATATGGAAATGTCCAACAGAAGGCTCCATCAAAATCAATTTTGATGCCACATGTGACTCGGATGGTGGAGCCCCCATGGTGGATAAAGAATATCATATCAGAATGCTCTCGTCTGTGTAATGTCCTTGAAGCTTGAGTTTCCTTCCATCATGCCCGTAGAGAGGCAAACCAAGTGGCTGATTGGCTTGCGCAAAATGTTTCACATGAACGGCCCTTTAGTTTCAATTGTATTCCAAGAGAGTTAGAGTCTATTTGTATCGCTGATTGTTGGGGTAGAGCTACCCCCCATCTTGTGTAGCTCTGTTGTGCTGCTTCCTTGTTACCCAAAAAAAACAGATTTTGATCAAAAGAGTAGGGGAAAAATCTGCTGTGACTAGTTTTCTCTTTTGCTTGGAACAATGTGATTATGGGAAGCAACTCAATTCTTTGATCAAAAGAGTGGGGGGAAAACAAGATCTCTCATGTTCAGCATAGCCAATCTGGAGAGCAGGTCCAATGATCTTTCATTTTTAGTCTTTAAGATAATAAAAGTTCACAAATGTTAACAACATGAAAATAATGAAATTTGATAGGTGATTAGTTATACATCTCTGAGAGGAATCCTCATTTGTAAATTGTAATGTTTATTTCCTTCTATCTCTACCTACGCTTCCAGTAATATTATGTACTTTTAAATCCAATCATCTAAAATGCAGATCAATCAGCATGCCAGATTTCCATCAAGTGATCTGTGATTCTGTTATTCATGTTATGCTATCATGAGTTCGCATCTAAAATCTATTAGTTTCTGTCAGATAAATTTTTAGTTGACTCATAAACCATTTTTCTATCAGTTTCTAATAATTTTCTCTATATCAACAGATTATGCTGTTAAAGAGAAGCCATTTTTGGCAGAGGATATGCAAGGTGGACCAGACTATATTGTTCTTAAAAATCTAGATACAGATGGGATACGCATTATTGGAAGTGTTCTTGGCCAAAGCATTGCTCTTGATTATTTTGTTTCGCAGGTATTTACCATTGGAAAAACACTAGTTTTGATAGCTTCTTTTCATAAAATGAAGTGATTTACAGCCGCACTGTGGGCCAATGACCTGATGGATTTGAAAATCCATCTTGTTTCGTGACATCCAAAAAAATGTATTATTTTTCTATGGTGCAGTTAAGACAAAACTTGATATTGCTAGATATAGAGCTATTTGAGAAGGTAGTTCAGGGTATGGCATCATTCTGATTGGCAATTGTGTGGTTTCTACTCTTCTTCTTGCGCAGGTTGATGGTATGGTTGAACAATTCACAGATATAAATCGTGGTATGGAGAAGACTGGAAGCTTCACAATGGATAGGAAGAAGCTATTTCAACTTGTAGGAAAGGCAAATTCAAATCTTGCTGATGTGATTCTGAAAGTTGGTCTCTTTGAAAGGTATTTTTTTTTTTTTTGGGGGGGGGGGGCGTATTATGAAAGGCATTGTTTTTATGGTTCAATAAATCCTTGTTGAATCTATAGTTCCGTTATATTTTTAATGCAGCTGTATTTTATTTCCTTGTCCTTATTTTTTGGGATTCTATGATAGTTGAATTGGTAATAGACCACCTGTCAACAAAAAATGTAAGAAAAAAATGACGAAATAAAGGAAGAAAGGGGAAAAAGGTTGATTGGCACAGTGAGGATCAACACCATAATTATAATGGGTTGGCTGCTAAACATTTTCTCCCTCCAGACCATGTTTTTTAGCTAATCCGCTTGATATTATTATATTAATGCCCTTCCTGTGCAGAGACAGAATTTTAGCTTTGTAGGGAAGCGCAAAATGTAAGGATATTATAATGATATGGATAATATCCAAGATAATATTTTCTATAAAATATTGGCAGTAGAAGACCTGCTTTGTCATCTTACTGAAAATTCACTACCTCACTGACATGATAGATAGTCTTGGCGGTCAACTATAATAACAAGTTTGTTTAGGATCCACCTCATGTCACATTAAGATTGCCTATTTAATGAGTTGGATGAATTGTTATAATATTTATGTACTCCAGTTCAATTATGACTTTTAAGAACTTTTAAGAACTGAATTCTCTCCATTTCCAATGCATGACTTGTGCTCATAGGGTAGCACAATAAGTAGTAAACTTCTCTTTTCTCGTCATTCAGATCAGAAATTGCTTGGAGAGATGCAAAATATGCTCAAATATTGGAGTACCTTCGAGAGGAGTATGAGGTCTCACAGCGTTTTGGGAACCTCAATTTCAAATTAAAGTTTGTTGAGGTAACTTCTTTCTACTTTTGATATCAATGTTTGGGTCAGTTGACTGCCATCCCTGAGATTACTGAATATTGGGGACTGGATGTTTGTGAAAACCAGCTTGGTTAAAATAAAGAACCTACTTCAGATTGAGAATTTCAACTTTTTGAAGTGGTTAGATTAACATCTTTTCAGGTGACCAATACTTGCATGAAAATAATGATTTGATGTTTGACTGTGCTGTGTTTCATCATCGTCATCATCATCCATGCCTTATCCCAACTATATGGGGTTGGCTGCATGAATCCTGTTTCACCAATCCGTTCTATTTAAAGCCATATCCACCGTGTTTGAAAAAAAATGGTAGGGAAAGGAAGGCAAATCTGTACAGGTTCCCCTACCTTTTCTTTCAAACCAAACACAGCCTTAGCTATTGCTCTACTGTTGCATGCACCTCTAAACCAAGACCTCTGTTATTCATTCAAGTACTTACTGTTATTTTAATAGAATCAAATGTTTCAGTCTCAGAAGATTCTATATGGTTTATATTGAAATTAAGTTTGTATGTAGACTTATCTTTATATTTCTTTTTCTATACCCTTGTACCAAAAGGAGTTTGGTTGGTCTATTTCCTATAACTTATTTTATTTTGCCCTACAAAAATTTTAATTCCCCACCTCTATGCCCTTGGGATGAGCCTAATTTTGTTTCCTACCATGCCTTTCATGACTTTACTTTTTCCACTTGTCCTGATTATTAGGGCAACATGGCAGTTTCTGTTGTCTTATTAGAAGTTTCTTTTTTGCAACTGGGTCTATTTCTAGTAGAGAGGGTCTACTTGCAACTGGGTCAAAAAGTTTAAGGGAGGTTATTATAATTACCAAACTAAAATGGAGATTTCAGCAATTTACCCCCAAAAGAAACAGCATAGACAAACTTAGCCAAAAGAAAGAAAATACAGCTGTTTTGCCTTTTTAATTTTGGGTGGATGTACTGAAGCGTAAAGCCTACTGCTGTTTTAAATTTTGTTCTAGTGGTAAACAACAACCGTTATTCATGTATTAGCCTTTTATTGATACATTATAATGCAAGAAGTGATATTCTGACTGTGTTTGTGTGTTTTGCAGCATAATATCCATTTTCTTCAAGAAGTTCTTCAAAATCGAAGATCGGATCTCCTGGAATGGTGCATCATCGTCTTGTTGAGTATAGAGAATGTAATATCATTATATGAAATTATCCATGATACAACTGTAGTTTCTGTTTGATCATCAACAAAGTGAAAAATGATTTTTTTTTGCACCCAAATAAAGTTATTGTAGCACAGCTTGATTCAAATTCAATTTCTCAGAAGCAGGCAAATTGCCTGATATGTATCAATGCTCCTACAAAAGAATTCCAACTCTAACTCTATTTCACTTGTATGTAAATTGGATTAGTTTTGGTTAAAAAAGAAGTTTGGGAACTTGAACAAATCGTATGCCATTAGCATTAGGTGGACATTTGAATTCAATACATACATTGCCTCAAAGACCGTGGATCTGGTGGTGCTACGTTAGGGTTGGGTTGGGACCTTTAATCAGCTTGGGTGAAAGTGAAACATCTCCATCGCACCCAGACGAGCTGGGCTTTGGCCTTGATCTATGCTGTATTAACCAAACCCAATCGTGCCAATTAACCAGTGAGTCTGTGACTGGGGCCTGGGGTAGAAACCATATTCGGACATATGTAGCCGTTAAGGGTGGGTAAGCCGGTAAGGCACCTCATTAACCAAGTCATTCCCATTCTCCCAACTTGAGACCTGCTGCTCCAGACCTCCAGTGCTCCTTGAGAGTGGGCTGAAGCTTCAATTTGCTGGGGTTGGGCTAGCTGGGCCCGAATGATAGATAGGCCCATTAAAGACGGAGTTGGCCCACCTCTACATTGCATATTGGCATGGGAAAATCCTAGTCCAGATGACCTCTCTCAGATCAGGATCCTGCTGATTTCTGTAATAAAAAAAATGAAATAACACATGCATGCAGCCATGCATATAAAAAGGGCAAATGGCATGTATATATGTGTATATATATATATATATATAAAGCCAAAGGACTCAAAACAGAATAACTGGAAAAGATGGTTTGCTTCCTTTTCCTTTATAAAGGTTGTTGATTTATTCTCCAAAACCGCTTTGTTCAGATTTCAGAAGCCTGTTACTCCTCACTCGTTCAAATTTAGTAAGCAAAAGGAATCATTAATTTCAGTCCAGTCTTACCGTCTTTACCCAGAGACAAAGACTACCAACCACCAACAAATTTCACTAATTAACAGACGCAAGCAAGCAAAAGTTCATCAACATTCAACAGAACTCTTGGATACACACCGGGAAATTCAAAAGAAGAAGAAGAAGAAAATCACTACCACCAGAAGTTGAAGAGAGAGTTGATGATCCAGACCACCACAGCGGTGGCAATGCCGGTTGGCAGTATAATCCGGCGGTTTGACGACGGGGAGCTATTTTTGCTGGGAGAAGGTGCTGGGGTGATCAGTAAGGGGAATTGGTGAACGGGGACAGCCAGTTTCATGCCATGCCAGCAGTATCCTCCACCGCTGAGGAAGTAATAGGTTTTGACCTCCCTGAGATTAAATACGTCCCTTCCAGCTCCACGCGACACATTTGTGATTGGATCTCCATCGTTGCATGTTTCGTAGCTTGTCTTGTTCACCTCCAGCACGTTGAAATAATGCCGATCATATCCGAAATCTGCAATAGTTCAATATTTCAATTCACAACCACATACGTATTTAATCAAAACAATATTATATTAAGCAACAATTCTAAATCCCTAAAACCCTAATTTGGTTTGATATTATGTCAACTTCGGAAGTTCCTGGTGGACTGGACAGGCGATGGACGTACGATATATTAGAACTGATGGTATTAGACTGCTGAGTTAATCATAATTCTGATGATGCCAGTAGGGTTTCGGAGTTTTGAAGTCGGGATCTACTCCTAACTTTGGATGCAGACGTTGGGCAGCTAAAAATTGGTTCAGGTGTACTTTAAAGAAACGAGATCCGCATTCCACAGAACTATCAGACCTGTTTAACTGTAGAAATGGCGGAGAACGTGAATAAAGTAAAAAAAAAAAAAAAAAAAAAAAAAAAAAAAAAAGATAGTGTGATAGTGGGCAACGTAATCCGGTTGAAAAACAGACAAAAAGAAAAAGAGAAGAACATTCGAGAGTTGAGATATGAAGATTTTACCTTCATATCTTCATATGAAGGTATGAAGATTTTACCTTCAACTCTAACAGAGAAAACATTTGAGAAGATCAGTACTTAATTTGATTAAGAAGTTAAAACCTCCAAACTTTGAAATGCGTGGATAGGGTCTCAGCCGACACTTCAAAGTAGAAATATAAAAAAAGAATAACAAGAAGGAAAAAATGGAAATCTCCTTATTTGGAAGACAGAGAAGAAAATCAACTAAAAGTGAAGCTGTTCCATGGGAGTCGTCTGTTCCACAGACTAACAAATTGAAGAAATCCAGGGGAGAAATGGAGAACACGTTTGGGAAACATACGAAAGCCAGAAATAGCTGAGAAATATGGTGAGTTCGATCGAGTTCTGTATGATTGAAAGGCCGGGCTTAAAACCATCATTAAAGCTTTCTACTTTTAAAATGAAGTTAAAAAAGTAAAGAGAAAAAAAAACCATAAAACAGGAGAGATGGAAAACTAGGGTTTTATTTTTTTCTTTCTTTATAATCTATAACTTGAGAAAGAGAGAATACACAGAAAAGAAAGGTTGTGTATCTGCTGCGTGTGTTTGTGGTAGGAGAGAGAGAGAGAGAGAGAGTTACAGAGCCATAGGCCAACGTAGAAGTATTGATGACCAGCCCATTCGGTGTAGTTGACGTCTGGATTCCACCCATTTGCTGACCCTCCAACACGAAGCAAATCCCCTGAAACGCTTCTGCCGCACGATAACACCAACAGCATCGTCCATTTCATTACAGGTACTCTCCTCACCACCTCCATTACTGCAACTCTCTCTCTCTCTCTCCCTCTCTCCCTCTCTCCTCTGGCTGGGGGTTGGGCTTTATATTACAACTACGACATGAGCCCATGTGTAAACTTCTTCGTCTTCATGAAAGGGTACCGGCACTTTATAAAATATTACGAATATGCCACTACTTAAACGTGTAACGAGATGTGTTGCACCAAATAAATAAAAAAAAAAAAAAAGGAAAAGAAACAGTTGTACGCAGTGAGAGTATCACGAATCATATAAAGTGGAAAGATTTATTGTCTTCAAATTTAAAAACCTGTCTTGAATGGTAAGACAGTTGTGGTTAGGATTTTGGAAGCATGAAATCGACATCCACTTACTAGAACAAAACGGTTTTTGTTTCATACATGGTTTTAGAACCGTCGTTGACCCGGACGGTCGGACCGTTTGGCCCAAGAATCGTTCAGGCAACTGGTTCTGTTTTACTCCAAATTCAATTTTTGGTTAAAAACCGTTGAAAAAGTCAACGATCCGTTGATCTTGGCGATCGAATTGTTGACCCGTTGATTCATTCAGTAGTTCTTGGCCTTTTTATTTTTAATTATTTTTATTATTTTTTAATTTTTTTGTCAGAATAGGCCGTCCGTTCGAACCAGATGGTCAAACTGTCAACCCAGAAACCAGTGGCCAGAATGATTCCATTTTCTGCTCGTTTTTTAAAACGTTGGTTTCATAGGGGTGGATTTGAGTTGAGTCAAGTTGAATATTTGGCTATTAAGCTCTCGTTGAAATTGTGTTAGGTTCAAGCTCTAAGGGTGAGCAAAAAAAAACCGAACCAATCGAATAAAACGACCAAAACCAAATCTATTGGTTTGATTTTGGTTCAATGTTCTAAAAAAAACCAACAGTTTCGGTTAATTATTTAAAAAACCGACAGTTAACCAACCAGTCGATATATATACGATAATATATATTATATTATATTATATATTTTTTATTTTTATTTTTTAAAATCAAATAAAAAAGTAAAAACTCGCAACAGTTCCCCCTTTCCCCTTCTTTGTCTCTTCGAAACCTAAACCTAATACCCTTTCAGTTTCAGCCTTTCTCTGTTTCTCACTCTCTCAGTCTCTCTTCGAGTCTTTGTATTTCCCAATCCCAAGTGGTCAGTTCGGCAGCCGGCACCACAGTTCCCCTTGCTTTCCTTCGGTATCGGTCGTCTTTCTATCGACGGCCTCTCTGGCTCTCCCCTAGTGTCTCTGTCTCTATATCTCTCTTCTCTATGAGTGAGTGAGTTTGTGTCTTTGTCTCTCTCTTCTCGCCTGTCATCTTCGCCGCACGACCAGTCAACCACCAAGCGGCAACGCCGGTTGTTGACAAGCAAGCACCAACATGGAAACATCTTGTCTTTGTCTCTCTCTTCTCTCTCTCTCTCTCTCTCTCATCCCTCCTCTTTGTGGCTCCGCCAGGCACCACCTCTCAGGCTCTCACTTCAAGTGACAACCAATAGAAACCATCGGCACCAACCAGTCCGGCACTGGCAAATCACCACCTCTCAAGTGCCACCTCTTTTAGGTATTTTTTATTTTAAGTGCATAAAAAAACCAAAAAACCAAACTGCATTTAACCGGTTGCATCGGTTCAAATATTTAAAAAACTGATCAAGTTGGTTTGGTTTGAAAAAAATACCCCAACTGAACCATGAGCACCCCTATTGAGCTCGATTCAAGCTAGGGACTTGAGCTCGAACTCGGTTCAGTTCAAACCTTGCAATTTCGAGCTCGATTGGGCTCGAGCTCGACTATAAGCCAAGTTTTTTTCTAAAAAATAAAAATATTTTTTATTTTACATACAAAAAATAAGAATTATAAAAATTATTTATCATTATACATAAAATTAAAAAATATTATATGTAAAATATTATTATATATAATAAAAATTATTTATTATATATATATAATTAAAAAATGATGTATATGCATGTATGTATGTAATAAAAAATTATTTATTATGCTAGGATCGATTAGGCTTGCGAGCCTCACGAGTCGAGCTTCATTAGGCTCAAACTCGACTTGATTAACAAACGAGTCTATATATCAGGCTTGAACTCGACTCAAAGCTCGATTTAAACCGAGCCAAGCCAAACTTGAATAAGTTATGAAAAGCTTGACTTGTGGCCACCTCTAAGTTTCACCAAACCTCGAACCTGACCGCCCTGGCACATCTCACCATAAAGTACTTGTTCCAAAATATAAAGTTCCACCATTAGGTTGGTTTAGAAGCTTGATTTCATAATACAAGTTCACAACTTAGGGTGATCATATTTAAGTAAAATGCCAAAGAGTTACCACATGGTTATCATCAGTAGGGTTTTTTATTTAATTTAGGAGACCAAATTAGGTTTTTATTTGTAATTAATCAAACGCATCTTTATCTACGAAAATGGGAATCATATTAATGAAAAACAGATACGTTTCGTGATTAAAGAATAGGAGACAATTTTTTAATTTGATGAGTTAGGAACAACATGATTTTTGGAGCAAGAGTGGGATTTAATTTGTTTAGCCTCTTTGAGAAGAAGGGTAGCCACATGTTTGTAGGAGAACTATTTTTATTTGAGAACTTTTAGTATATGCACTAGCAACAGAGCCTGTGCATTTACACAGGTGTGCAATATGAGTAATTAAAGAAAAACAAAACGAAATATCAGATAAATATATAAGAGGATAGGTTTCTGGGGTGAGCGAGAAAATAGGAGAGATGGGAGAGAGAATTTTTGGGAAAGGAAAATCATTTGGGATTGAGGAAAAAAATAAGTAGAAGTTGTATAAATAGGAAGCAAGTTATGAGGAGAGGGGTGGACTACTGTAGTACATTGATCATGTGGTAGGAAAAATATGAAGAAAAAGAGAGGGAACATCTCACATGTGAATTGAATTTTGCAATTGTTTAGAGAGAGAGATAGAGAACAAACAAAGAGAGAGGGTTTTTATGAGCAAAGTGATTGTCACCAAGGTGCACCATTTTGTGGAGGGTTTACAAGTTCCTAGGCAAAAGGAAGCGATGACACTCTAGAGCATTAATAGGCCATAGTGTGAGGGGTCTTGCTGTGGACAAGTAAATTTGGACCACATTGTGGCCCACACCCAAGGACTTTTAACAGGTCTAGTTCAACTCAACCCATATCAACCAACTGAGGGCTGGTCCGTTGGTGTGTTAATTAGTTTGTTTACATTTTAAAATATTATACATCTGCCGTGGAAATCAGAATTCTGCAATGGGCCTATTCATAAAAATTTTATGGTTTTACCCAATAAATAATAACCTACGTATGGTTTGGGCTCAATGTTTCTCCAAAAGTAGTTCAAACTTCAAAGGCATGGTCAACACCCAAAATAAAGATCAAACAAACTTAACCTAACCTTTTCCAACAAAATAATAAATAATAAACCTGACCTAACCTTAGTCCACTAAAACCATGTACTCAAGGCCCAGTTTGTTTGCTCATTTGCACCGGTGTAAATGCATGGAAATGTAAGTAGGCTGAGTAAAAATTCTGATGTGCTTTTGCTTCATATTTGATTTAATTTATCTTATTTGTTTGTGAGAAAAAAATAGAAAGTAAAATAATGTAGTCTTCACTTTACACAAAATAATGCAGTCCCCACTTTATATAGGGAGAATTATTAAAGGAATAAATTGGTGCAATTTTTTGCATCAGTTTTTAGGATGCAAAATTTGCACTGCTAGCAGGTGCAAATAAAATAACAAATATAAATTTTTTATCAGCTAAGAGTGCAAATCATAGTTACAAATAAACATGTATAAAACTGAACCAGGTGCAAAAACTTGTTTTCAGTTCTAATTTACATTACAAAATATAAACAAAACGGAGTCCAAGAAAAAAACGAAATTCCTAATCTCAATAACAAATCTAAAATCACAAATGCATGCAAATGTGCAATTGGCTCCAAACAAAAACTCAAAACCATAGGCAATACGACCACACAGTAGCTAAAATTTTTCTTTAACAATATTTGATTCTTCATTAGCAGAAAAAACAAATCAAATAAATTTTTTTCTTGAAGTAAGCTACATGTTACCGCCACCGCCACCGCCACCACCACCACCACCAGAACTCAATAAAGAAAGGTCCATAACAGTGCAACAAAGGCAAGCACGGCCGGCGTAACAATCTGGGTAGTATAGTTGGGCGGAGGAGATGCATTAATCTTGTTGTTCGCCGGAAAAGACGGTGGTGGGGGTGGCAAATTCTCGACCTGGACGGCGAGTTTCATGCCTCTGTAGCAGAAACCTTTGCCACTGATGAAGTAATACATCATAGTGACGTTGAGTGGAACTACATCCCTCCCCGCACCGGTTGTCCAGTTGTGGGTAGGATCATTCTCATTGCACGTCTCATAATTTGTCTTGTTCACTTCCAACACGTTCATCTGATTCCTATCGTACACAAAATCTGCAGCACATAGCAGAGAACTCAGAAGAGGAGAGACAAGCTCAACACAAAAACAGCAACTTAGTCGTCGTCTGAGTCAAAACGCTATCTGGTTGGCGCTTCTCGCGACTCGGTGAGTTACAAAACCCGAGTTCCCTGCCCTGGTGAGTGATCTAGTGTGAGACCCCGACCCCTCTACGTAACCATTTTCGTTGAAAGGACACACGCCATCGATCTTCCTCGTCAAGAGACCGATTCTCTCTCTCTCTCTCTCTCTCTCTCTTATTTTCCGTATATTTTTCCGGTACTTATCGAAATGATTCGTGCAAAGCATAAGAAGTCAAAAGGACAGCTATTTAGAGGCGAAACAATAAATAAACAATTCGATTGGTCATAGAAGATCTGAGCTAGAAGGGATTGAAATGTAAGTAATTAATTCATTAACTGAAAACTCAGAGACTGAGCAAGAAGTGACGATCCGGCGTCATCGAAACGCAACCGGCCATTTGAACGCAACGAATTTTCCTTAACAGATGTGAAAGAAATTGTCTGTTGTTAACTCAAATGCAAGTATGCAACCGGCTTCATTATCTGAAATCGAAGAACTCGACTGAGTGATTCAAATGCAAGCAGCTTTACGATCTTATTTTCGGTCATGCCCACACAAAAATTAAGGAAAAGAATTTACTCAGGAAAACATTAAAGAAGATAAAAACGCAGAAAAATTGAACTAGCAGAGAAGATGTAAGGTCTGAAGGTTGTGAATGGAAAACTGAAATAATCCCTGCTTCAAGTCAAAATACAATAAAAAAGATTCAGCAGAAGAAATCAATGCAATCCATTAGATCCGGCAATGGGCACTTGATTTTAGTTTTACAGAAGTGGAGGAAGATTATTCGTCAGAACAATTAATATTTATAAACTCAGAAGTATAACCAAAGAATTATGAACAGCCATGGAAGAAAAAGGCAGAGCTTAGAACTTGGATAAGATGGCAAAATACGCATATCTGTGTTACATCACATAAATTTTAGAACAAGGCCAAATGTTTGTATCGGAGAAAGAGAGCTTACAGAGCCAGTCACCCAGGTAGAAATGTTTGCCTTTAGCCCACTCAGTGTAGTTGACATTGCTAGTCCAGCCCGTGTTTCCTCCAACGATGACTCTGGTGGCAGAGACTCCGGATAGCATGAAAAGGATGATACATATTAGCACTAGAAGTAGCGTCGACCACGCAATGTTTTGTCTCTGCACCTCCATCTCTCCACAACCCTTTCTGGCCTCTCTCTCTCTCTCTCTCTCTATCTCTCCCGGTTACAGTTTCATCTTATATTTATCAAGAAGCTTGAAGCTTGAATTTCAATCTACCTTTCCAGTTTCCAAAACTAAAACCAAGAAGAAAAGTTATCTTATTTTAATTAATAAAAAGGATTAGCAGCAATTAATTTAAGGGAATATTCTGTAATTTGAGTTTAACGACATTTTGGTTCCAAAACTTTAAAATGCTATAATTCAGTATCTGAAATTTCAAAAGGTATCAATCCACTATCCACTGTTAATCAGCCATTAAGTAGCATTTGAAAAAGATACAAATGTCCTCGGCTGTCATCTAATTTTCTTAATCAATCATCCAAACATTGATAAAAATTTAATAATCTCAAATCTTTACTTCTATTTCAAAAAAGTTGGGGTCACCAGAATAGCCACTAAGACATGACCCCAACCTTCTTGAATAGAAGAGGCAAGGATTTGAAACTGTTAATTTTTTGTCAACATTTAGATGGTTGACAAAGAAAATTAGATGACACTTGAAGGATATTTGTGTCTTTTTCAAATGCTATTTAAAAATTTATTAACAGCTAATTAATCAACTGTTGCATTTTAAAGTTTGGAGACCAAAGGGACAATAGGCCCAAAGTACAGAATACTAATCGGGAATTTTCCCTTAATTCAATACTAACATTGTATGGTTTACGCTTCCTGTTTGGCAAGGCCCAAGGTACCGATTCATCAACATCCATTCAATTCCTCTGCAGGAGCTAAAGAATTGCTGGGCCAATCATGAGACACCATGACTGCAAATCCTTGGTGCTCAATTGGCTTCAGTCTCATACAACTCTAATGTCTAATCTGAATGACTGAATCTGATGACTAGGTGTTACAACTTACAAAAATAATTTAAACTAGAAAAAAAAAAGTAAAAAACCATTAATACTTTTTCACATCAATGGGGAAAAGGTTGGAGTTACAGTCACCCCAATCTGTAGCAAAACCGACTAACTGCTATTTGGGGGAAGTGAAAACATCCAGTACCTTTGAATTTGTTCCTTTAACATTTAAGCGTGTATTAACCATCGTCATCATCACCTAAGCCGCGTTCCAATTATATGGGATCAGCTACATGAACGATAAATCCTATTTCTTCATGTCGTCTATCATCAAATAATGCATGCTTGAATCATTTATTACTACTTCCACCCAAGTACTTTTGGGGCTGCCTCTAGCTCTTCTAACCCCCTTCTTATACTAGAAAATTTCTACCAAGTGATCTTCTATTGCATGTGACCAAATCATCTCAGTCTACTTCTCTCATTTAAATGTATTAACCATTTCAGCTAATCCAATTTTATAGACTTAATGCGCTTAAGGGTCTCAGTGTTGCATTTGAAGGAGTAATGCAGGAATACCAAAGGTCATAACCAATGCGACTTTCTCTTCAATGTTGCATTCAAATGCGTTTAAATGAAATGCTTATAATCTACTCAAAAGAACACCATGAGTACAGTCAGCAATGTGCCTAGCAAAATGAAAGTCTCCTTCTCTATAGACTATAGAGATGGATTCACTAATGAATAAGGTCATTTATAATCACATTACAGTGCACCAATGTGTTAAGAAACAACAAATTTCAGCCAAGAAGACAACGATAAATTTGACAGTATGGACGTTTATTATTCTATACTCAGAATTCCTCTACCTTGACAGAATCACGAACCATCTCATATGCATCCTTTGGCCTTGACTTCTTCACACCAGCCGTGAACCAAACCTTGTCAGATTTGTAGCTTTCAACAGTCACGCTGGTGACTTTAACCCACACCAGGACCTTTGTCTTCATTCCTTCTATCCCGGTGAGCTTTCCTCTCATCAATGTCCCTTTCACTCTAGTGGCATACCTCACTACAGAAGAGTCCTTGAAGATCACCTCACAGACAGAAGGCATGTAAACAATCAACTTGGCCTTTGTTGCATCAAATTCATAGCAAATTATGTTTTGGGGAAAGAGGCCTGATGGTAGATTGTACTCTCGGAGAAGATCCGGCAGGGCTTTCAGTGGCTTGCCTGTAGAAAGAAATAGATGGGTAAGTTTTCTTTACATTCACCGCATAAAAGTTAATGTCGCATAAACAACATAGTTTGCTAAGGAATATATTTAAGCTTCAATCGCCATGGCAAGCGACCCCCTTCCAACTAAAGATATAGCTTTAAGGGGGCATTCTTTTTTTGGACTTTGAGAGGAGGGAAAGTTGGTCAATGGGATTTTGGTTCCCATTGACCAAGAATCCCATGTTCATTTTTCAGATTAATTTGGGGACAGGGGAAAGTTTATTTTCCTGGGTATAACCCATCTCCTAGGTGGGTAAATAACTTTCCCACCTAGGAAGAAAGTTGTTAACACTTTAATGAGACAAAAATGCCCCTTTTAATAATGGATTTTTATGACTAAAATGGCCATTATCTTATTTACCTGAGAAATAAAAGAACATGGGTAAATGCACTTACCCGGGTAAGTGTTTCCTAGGAAAAACTTACCCAGGTAATTGCATTTACCCGGGTAAATAACTTACCGAAAAGCGAACGGGGCCTAAGTGTCAAGAGAATCATACAAGGAGGCATAACAAGAATATTAGTTTGGCTATATATTTATGGAAACAGTTTACAACTTCAGTTAAAGTACTGTTGCATCATTTTAACTTAAAAAAATTCACTTAAACCAAGAAGAAGATCATTGAGGTAAAAGAAGATCCACACCTTTTAGCTTGTTGAAGATCCATTTAGCCTTCTCTTCAACAGTATTTGAGAAAGTCTGCAATTGCAAGTAACAATTTCAGTGCGAAAAATGAAACTTATAGCAACAGCTGCATATAGAATTACATGCCAAGTGCATATTATTATTCTATTTTTTTTTTGATCAATACATATTATTATTCTATCACCAGATACAAATAGAAATGTGAAGCTAATCAAAGGTCTCAGACGAGCTATCCACAAGAGTAATTAAATCCTTGTCTGTTCTAATTAAACTGACTACTTAACCATGATTGCATCAATTCTAATGAAATTACCACTCTCCCAGACAATAGCTACACTATCATGATGGAAATAGAAATACACTTCAAACATTCTACCAAAACCATAACGAATAAGCATGCTATCAAAAATTTCTGCAGCTTACCAAATTGTGGAGCATGTACACAATAAAACATCATCAAATAAGAGAATTTTTGCCAACCACACATATTGAAATACCTCCTAAGGTTACAATTGTAGAAATTTAGTCCAAGTAAAAGGTCAATAAAGCTATGAGATACAAAGGCTCCTACTTTTTCCTCATCAGTAACAATGATCAAAAGAGCTTTAATTGATGAGAAAAAGAAGTAAGAATCCTAAAAGGTTGTCCTGCAGCTGCAGGAGACAAGTACACAGCAACACCCAACTTAGCTTGACTCAAACCAGAGGCAATCCAGCTCATGTTAACCTCAATTTCAAAGCAAGAGTTCTATCTACTTTACGTGTACCATTAGGGGCATGAAGGTTGGATCTTGTGTCAGGCCCTTCAAAAATCAAAACATATGTTGAGAACATTAGGAAATGTTAAAGATGTGTAGACCTTAGAAACATTAAGGAAAATACAGTCCTGAAAAGCACTCACTTCATATGGTCCTGTAAACAACCATTTCAAAAGGGAACCTTTCCATAAAGCATTGGGATTCCCTGCAAGCAAAAACTCTGCACACACTCTGAAAGCATGGGAACCCAGTCACATTGGGAACATCTCCCCATGAATTTAACATACATGTACCAGAGAGTTTTTCTACACCTCCCATAACCAGCTAAAGCAAATTTACAAGCCTTACCCCTATCCTGGATGATGCCCCTCCAAGAAGGTGTCATCCCTGTCAAGACTTGGATACTAATTATTATTTTTTTTTTTGAGGTTGAAAAAATTTTTTCTATAAAAAAAAAATACATGTACCGGATAAATTCCCACTGTGCAGCTGGATGCTATGTGAGCAGAGTTTTTACTTGCAGGACATCCAGGCTCTTCGATAAATGACATAAGATTTTCTCTTTTATATGTAGTGATATTATTTCTTGAAACATTATGAACATGTGCCATTTTCTTGCAGGACAATGTCCATCATAGTTGTCAAGGCAACGCCTAGGCGACAAGGCGCCCTTTGAGGCTCGCCTCGCTCAATTGGCTAACAGTTTTCTACTTCCTACTATAAAATACTTTTTTTATTCATTCTTTTTTGAGATCATAATTATAAAATAAACACTATTAAACTAAAATAATCATTTTGTGTGTTTATATACTAATTTCTTTTTATTATTTTCTTATTTATTAGGGTTTAATCAACAAAAACATTGCTAAATGTTGTATTGAACCCTCAAAGACTTAAAAACCTGAACCAATAAGTAAGGAAGAACTACTACCAATACTTTTTATTTTCTTCTTTTCCTATAACAAAAATAAGGGTTCAGCCCCTATATTTTTTGAATTTTATTTTCTTTCTTCCTTTTCTTCTCATGAATGTGTTGATTTTCTATACTTTAATATGAAATTTATACTTTTCTTATGAAAACCATGAATATTTATTAAAGAAATATGATTATGGTACCTAGGGAACTACCCTAGGATCTATTTTTTAACATAAAAAAATTCATCGCCTAGGCGACTAGGTGCCCCTCAGTCACATAGCCTCGCCTTGGCGCCTTGAAAACTGTGATGTCCATGTAGTGGCAACATTATCAAATATTGAGTTTAATTTTGATTTTCACTCGTTGAGCAGTGGTCAATTGACATTGGCTATCAGATATGATCCTATTGTGGGATGGAGAGTGGAATTTTGGGAAGACATTTGGTGGGTGAGTTGCCTTTGTGCCTCTTATACCTGTGTTTTTGCTTGTCTATTCATAAAAGTAATATCCTTTTTTTGTTTTGGATTGGTATAAAAATAAACCCATTTCAAAGTTGATTTGGCAACTACAATTATACAAGTATCTCCTAGGACTTGGGGCTTGGAAGAGAGTTAAGGGATTCCAAAACTGAGGAAGTTAAGAATATCTTGAAAATTTTAAAAGAGCATTTTTTTTTTTGTGCAACAGGGTTATATAACAGGATTGATGTTGTTGACTTAACAGGACAGACAATAGGAGACGGATAAAACCAAATGATCATAAACTTGCTGTTGTTAGAATAGGAAATATGTCGATGCCCATGGTACTTGGTGAGGGAAGGCCCCTGAATTGCTTTTTCAAGAGGATCCCCAAAGCAGCATACAGTATGGAAGACTCTACCTCTAGCAAAATCAGCTTCCAAGGGATCTTCTATTATGGGGTAAATCAGGGCCATGGGGAGAGTTGCAATTAGTTGACATAGTATGAAAAAGGAGGGTCGGTTAAATATTGCTCGTACTCAACTATCCACATTTATGGATAGTGGGGAGGTACTTTGTCCACCAACAAAATATTATTCGCTGCTACTTATAAGAAAATGGCAAACTGGCATTGGCAACATATTCAGGGAAAGTGAAGACAATATGCTGCCTGTCTTCTCTGGACAATGGGGAAAGATTCTTCCAGACTGAGTTATTGGTGGCTGTCCATGGGCTTAGGCTATATCCGTCCATTTGTTTGGCAGGGTGGTGGTGGAAAGATATCCAAATTTGCTTGTTAGGTAGTTGAGATCATTGAAAAGGGACGGTAGGAGATACCTATCCAAAAATAAGGGACACTGGTATATTTCTCACTTTATAAGGAGTTGGCTTCCAGGACAAATGTCCTATTTTATTGAGTACCTAAATTGGCCTTTCGGATAGGAGGATTCGTATCAGAAGGTAATTGTTCATGGTTGTAAAAAAATAAAATAAAAAACTTATATTGGCCAAAATATATATGAAGTATGCATCTTTTCAGCTTCATAGAAACTCCACTGTGTTTTTTGCACTAGTAAACCATTTAATAAGTAACAGCAAAGAAATTCTAAGAGAGAGACATTTGAAGACCTTATGCTTTCATTTCTGCAGAATCTTTTTTTTCAAATTTTAAACATCAATAGCCCCAGTTTGGCCCATCTGAGATGGTGCCCAGGTCATTGTTTAATATCATCACATTCCATCACTCATACTTTTATGCTCTTTTTTTTTTCTATTAATTTTGAAAGACAGCAAACAGGTTCATTTCTCAGAATGCCCCGTTAATTCTAACTTTTTTAGCTCAAAAAAAAAAGATAGAACTGCTGAAGATCCTCAACTCAAATTCGCAAATCAAATATAATTCCACTAAAAAATGAAATGTAGAAACTACAATGATAAAAGAGACAGATGAAATTACCGAAAGAAAAAACAGCTATGAGATCTATGTGATATGCATTTCATTTCGATCCAAAATTTCACTAGTCTATTTAATTGGCCAGTATAAAACTAAACAGGTACTCATCCAAAGAGGCTATGTCCATCAGAAAAGCATGTTACCAGTAGGAAAAGTCAGAACATTTAGCGTTTTACATTTCCTCGTCTTTCACTTTTTGTCCTCTCCCCTGTCTCAGAGAAGTAATGATACCCCACTAATTCATTTTTTGGAGGACCAGCGCAAACTTAAAACAAAATTATCAATTAAAATCATGAACAAATAAGCACCTTTAACGAAACAGAACTGAAAAGGAGGCGAATTAAACAGCCACGGAATAGGAACAAGGTCCTCTAACTATCCTTCTTTTTTCTCTTTTCATTTCCTTATCTTACCGTTTTTATCGAAACCCATCTCTCATTTTATTCTGGTTTCGGGAAACAAAACAAACAAATCTCCATCCACTAACAATATTGAAAGACCACATTGAGAACTAAGTGAATATCATCAATTGTGTTGCCTTCAAACAAGCAGCATTGGACAAACAGAGTCCAAAAAACAGCATATATTTGCGTACATTGACAAAGAGCTGATAAGAATAAATGAGAATCAGGCATGGGCGAGAGAGGGAGGGCAAAAGAAAAACATTACTACTCACAGTGAGGTCTTCACCGATGTTGGAGATCTCCTCCTTGGCTTTCCTGGAAATCCAAAAGGTCCCAGCTTTTAAGCTCCCAACTTTTGTCAGGGCTTTCTCCATTCCTGTCTCCTCCCTTCCCTTCTCACTGCAGTGAGAAACAGGACCTCTGTTCAACCCGCGGCGCTCTTAGCGCCCTCTGGCTCTCTCTCTCTCTCTAAAATGTAGCACTAATCTCAGAGACAGACATGCCACAGAAAAATAAAAAATGCAAAAAAAAAAAAAAAAAAGAAAAGAAACGGCAGAAATGGAAAGAAGAAAGGAAAAGCGATTGTTCACTGTCCAGCCGATAAAGATAGAGATTCTACAGGAAAAAGAAGGAATATTTACAACGCAGGGTATTTTTGTAATTCAGCGACGTGTCTCTACTGCTCTAGCCTCCATGTGATGTACTGATGTCGATGGTCCACCCATCGGCCGCTGCGATGCGGCGGCAAGTACATCGCTAATACACGGCGGAGATGCTCTGTAGGATATTGTGAGCGCCGCTTGTGAGGCGCAGATGTGAACTCCGCTGGAATTGACAGTCTAACCCGGTTTTTGAAGGAAATACCAATCCGGTTTAAGGATTGGCCCAAAGGGGCGGTTCAAAAACTGCTGAATTGACTGAAATGAATTATATAATACCAAGTGATAAAGTATTCAATTCAGTCGGCGTAAAAAAAAATGTATTCAATTCAGTGAGTTCAGCTGTCCATGTCTGTATGCATGGTTTAGCCAGTTAGACGCGCCGTGCCTCTCCCTATTCCAAGTCCCTGCTCGGCCACTCCTGTGCCTTGATTAAAATGACGAAACTACTCTTTCCTTTTACTATAATTATTCTTCGAAAGCAACGAAGATTTTTCGTTCTTTTTATCCAATAACTCGTGCTGATTGGTGAATGGTGAGAGGTCATAAATTGTTTTCTTGCTTACATCTTACGAAGAAGCCGGTGATTATTTTAATAAAGAAATAATTAAGGTTGTGTTTGGACAAGGTTCAGGTTTTATATTTTTAAAGATTAAAAAGCATAAAACCCCAATTCTAAGGCTTTGTAAGTTTGTATGATTGGGTTAAAGGTGTTCTGATTTTAAATTGTTATATATTTAATGGCAAATTTTATGGAAATTATTGTAATATAACTGAAGTTCAATTAAATAATTGATAAAATCATAAATTACATTAATACCTTTAATATTGTTAAAGTCTTTAATAATAAATACATTTTACATGAAAAAAATATTCTATAGAATATAAAATTGATGAAATGTTGATTAACGTATAATAAATATTCAAAATGCACCTTAGTTGGACATATTTTTAAAAGCAATTATTGTCAAACACTCAAAAAAGAATTTATCCAAACGTGGCCTAACTCGACTGTATCATCGTGTATTCGAGGTTAGAGAAGTTGGGCTTGGCTAAGAAGTTTCCTTCCAATGCAAATCAAACAAACACAAACACAAAATATAAGAAGAATAGAAAGAAAGATATATAATAAGACAGACAAGACAATGACAACCCAACCATCCACATTATTACGGGACTTTGATCATGTGCTGTAACATAGACCTCGCCTCACTTGACGAATTTGCCAGCTCAAAAGCTTGTGACGACCTTTAGCTCTTTCTCCTAATTGGAGGCTTATGAGGGCCTCATCCCTCAAGTGTCAAGTCCTCAACTTCATATTTTTTTCTCTGTTCTATCAACCATCTTCCATCTAAGGGTTAATCAACAGCTCACACCATATCAAGCTATTAAAGTTAACCCATCAAACTTGCTTCATCAACTTTGGCCTATCAAAGTGGTTGGCCAACCGTTTAACCTTCTTTTTACTTACAAATTGATGTGATAAATATACAGTTATTTTCAGGTTAAGATGTACTGAGAGAGGTGGATATGCTTTAATTTTTAAACCTCTGTTTGAACCAAATGATCAGACCATTCGACCCGAGAGCCAGTCCCCAGAACAGTTCCATGTCCAATCTGGTTTTTAAAAACTTATAGGTGGATTAATGTTATAAGCTAACCCATCAATTCCTCTAACTTCTGCGGATGAGGTCACAAATTCCTACACTGAACTCTCAACCTCAATCATTACTCTCTTTCCCACTTGTTCCAACATCATTTTTATGTCCTTTTGCAGCATAAATGTTAGAATGGAGAACAAAGTTTTCCACATTTCAGGGCTCCGACTCAAGAAGACCAAGTAACAGCATGTTCTAAGCTCCAAATGACTATCCTAATTCCTAAGTAAATACTGCATGTGGTCATTCAATCAATGTTTAATTTCAAATCAACACCTAGCCTCATTTTTTGCTTAACCACAGACTTCACAATTGATCAAAAATTGTTAACTTGATAAAAAACTGTGTGACCGGAGGCAATTGAACCATCAATCTAAATAGGTCACATATATACATTTAATGTTGGAAAACTTTTTGAAGCCATAACTTCTAACGATGGGTGATTTCTTTTTCCTTTTTTTTCTTATTTTGGGTAACTTTTTTGCACAATCTATGTTGCAAGGAGCTGAAGTCACCTTTGTCACTTTTTCTACCAAAAAACTCCTTATTTGGCCTCGAATCTTAATTTTTAGCATAAATAAATTAAAATAAAACATATTACATGCAGAATATAATTATTTATCCCAAATACATATGTATATAACTATATAATTATGTTATACAAGTCATGCATAAACTCACATGTCATGGGTTGACCTATTTGACTTGGATGGTTAAATCGATAACCTACAAGGCTAAAAATCCGTTTTAAAATATTCCACATCACATTTGAGACCATATCAGCGTCTCACAGGTGCCCCACATGCACATCTCAGCATGCATTGCGAACAACTCCCTTGTCATTTGGAGATGTTCCAAATACATTGTTGGGATATGCTGTGGGGCGCCAATATGAACTCACCACATTTGCCTCAGGCATCTACATAAAACTGAACTTGAATCTCCTGACCACAAACTATTCCCACATCCACACCCACGGGACACTATAGGTTTGCATGGAAATATCTCCCTTGTCATTCATGGGAAAGATATTCCCAATATACGGCCATAGTGTCTAAGTGGGAATGGTTTGTGGTAGGAGATCTGGAGTGCATAAAAATGTTCCCTAGCCACATTAACCCCATCCTCAAAGCAATCTAGATCTCCTGACCACAAGAACTCTGCCCACGCCTAACCACAATACACTACCCCCCGTGAATTGGGAACATCTCCCCCTGCATAATACTATGTAGATGATGAGATGTTCTCTATGTGTGGCTGCGATAAACATGGGCAGGAGATCCGGACTCTCCTCAAAGTCGGTGGTTGTAAGAATCCTATCCGCCTACTGGAATAAACCAGGCAGCTTACAACGTCTCTCTCAACCGTCAAATTGAAATTTGAATTTCGAACCAGAAAGGGTGCACAATGCCACTTTGAACCTTTATGTTTTTTTTCACATATTTAAATTACCCCATTAAAGGAGTCTGGATCTCCTGCTCACAAGAATTCTGCCCATATCTACCCACATAACATTGCATACACACATAGAGAACATCTCATCCTTCACATATGTACGGCGAGATATTTCCAATACACAAGGGTAATATGTTGTGAGTAGACATGGGCAAAGTTTTTGTGGGCATGAGATCCAGAGTCCGATTTAAAGAGCATAGGAAAGACCTATTAAAAGGGACTGGGCACCATTCATGATTCACCTACCCAACTTTCTAATCTTATACAGTTCTATTCATCATACTTGACCAAATAAGACACACCATTATCAGTAAGGCCCAACAATCTTGATGATTGGCTTCTAAGAGGGCAAGAAGGTTCAAAATTTCATATAATATTTGGCATATCGTATGGTATTGATAGTTTCCCAAAACCGTAAATAAGGGGTGGTGATTTGGAATTTGAACACTTTTAGGGATAGGCAAACCTAAAACTGGCCCCCTGAAAAGCCTGCCCGGTAGTGCGTACTAGGTGCATTAATACTTTAAACCTTAAAGGGCAATACAATCAATAACACGCTTATATTTCAGAATAAGCATATTTATTGTTGATTGGTCCCTTTAAATACGATCATTTAAGGCTTAGACTGTTATGATAGTAATTATAGTAATAATATATTTAAAATTTATTATAAATTTTATGTATTTTTATTTTTTGTTTATATATATATATATATATTGTTTTTTTATTATTATTCAGATGAAGATTACAAAATCCAAATTTGTTTACATAAACATCTCATCCAAATATGTGATAATCAAACCGGATTGTGAAGTTTCAACTATCATTGAGAGACCTACCTGCTTGGGTAGACTCTTCTTTTTGTAGTGTTTTATCTTTTTGGTGTATTGATTTTCTTTTATTCATTTATCAAAAACTGTGTAATATTTAAATAGAGAGAATTGAATGAGGTGAAAAGTAATAGTTCAATTTACAATTTAAACCTTACAATTAAATAGGAACTAAATTCAAAAATAAATATTTTAGTCATTGTTTTAAAAACTAAACCAGAACCGCTATTTTGGCCTTGAATCAATTGGCCCATTTAGTCTAGGAACCTTTAGGTCACCAATTGGCTCGTTTGGCCCTAAACTCTTCTTTATCCAAGTGGTGAGCATTCAAAAATCAGTATTTTGAACCATTTGGCCTGAGAACTAGTTAGGTTACCAGTTCCATTTTGGCCCTGAACCATTATTTTTCAAAAAAAAAAAAAACCCTGTTGAAATGGTCAAAGAATCACTAACCTAGAAGGTTTAACCATTAAAAATGTTCAACCCGATTAACAGTTTTTTGTTGCTTTCAAACTAATTCCAATTTTTTTATTTATTTAAAATGAAAATTAATTAGAAAATAAAAAAAATGAAAAAAGAATATTTCATATGTCATAATCTTGTTCGATTATTCGCAATGACCAAAATTAGTTAGGTTTTTTAGTTTTTCCATTCTGATTTTGAGTTTTCTTATTTTTGTGATTCTTTTTAAGTTGTAATAGCAAAAAAAGTGCAACTCCAATGAAGAAAATAAAAATTGAATGCAAGAGATGAGAGATTAAACATCAATCTTATATTAGAAGGTTGAGATACACTAATGAAGCAAACAATATGGGATTTAAGAAAGATTTAGAAAAATGAGAGGGATGTAAGTAGGGGTGAGCATTCGATTTATTCGGTTAAAAACCAAACCGAATAAACTGAAATTTTAAAAACTGAATTAAAAAATAAATAAAAACTGAACCAAAACCGAAATTTAGAAAAACCGAAATAACTAAAACCAAAATTTTCGGTTCGCTTTTTGGTTAAAACCAAACTTTAATAATATATACTCTATTATATATATTATATATTATAAAATATATATTATGAAATCAAATTCCAGTATATTATATGTTACATATTATATATTATACATTACATATAATAATAAACAGTTCGATTAATTCGGTTAACCAAAATTTTAATTACAAAAACCGAACCGATTTAACCAAAAACCAAAAAAACTGAAGCCAAAATTTTTGGTTCGGTTATTCAGTTTTAACCGAATAATGCTCACCCCTAGATGTAAGAAGATGGCAAACGATGTTGTAGCGGTGGTGATGATGAACATGGAGATAGTCACCAGTGGCGGTTCCTTCTTCTTCTCAGGGTAAATGGCTCTGCAACAATGAATGGTAAACATGGTGACAACCACCTCCGATGGTGCTTCCTTCTCTTCTTCTTCTTCTTCTTCTTCTTCTTTGTCTCAGCTTTAACCAGCCACCTCCTTCTCAAAGTCTCAACTCCCCACTCATAATAATGTATATATATGGTGGACTTTAACCTAATCCTAATCTAAAGGTCAAAATAAAAAGTTACATCATATTTTACATCTTACCAGTTTAACCCACTCAAATTAGATGGTTGAACAGCTAACCCAAAAATTAAAAGCCAATACAGTTCCGTTTTTGGGTCAGTTTTTAAAACATTGATTTCAATCAAAAGAAAGTTCCACAATCTTATTCATATCTTTAATAGTAGTGTAAATATAGAATTATAAATGTGTTCAATTTTTTCTATAGTTTTTTCGTATTTTTGTGTGTAAAAATAATATTGATATATTACACTTACTTTTTGTTTAATATAATAAATATATGATATTATACATGTGTCGAAATGCTTTTTTTTTGCAAAACTTATATATTTTTTCATTTTCGTATTTTTATATTTTATTAATTTTTATTATTTATTTATGACATTAAAGGTTAACACATTTAACCCAAAAGTTAAAACTATTTATTATTAATTTGTATATTTCATTTTTGGTCAATTCTAAATTATGTATTTCATTTTCATTATTAATAAAAATAATTCTTATTTATTACACTTATTTTTTAATTTGATTAATAAAAATATCATAATTGTGTCTAATTTTTTCTACATTTTTGGTAATTTACTATATTTATTTCTATTTTAAAAAGTTTATTACCTAACTATGATTTCATCGGTTTATCAATTTGATTTGGATGGTTGAATTGCTTAACCACCACTTGGATAAAGAATGGTTTTATTTTTGAGTTAATTTTAAAATGTATGATTTTATATTGTTAAAAATATTGACATAGTTATAATTAGTAACATTTATTAGTGAAAAATAACTTAAAAATATATGATTTAATAAGAGAAAATGGTATTTAATACCATGAGTATAAAACTTAATAAGAGGGGATTAAATGAGGTGGAACATAATAATTGAAGTTACATTTTCAACCCTTACAATTAGAGATGGATTAAATACACAAATATGGCCATTTTAGTAGCCATTAAAGCTAACATTAAAGCTATAATAAAATGACTTTTATACTCTTTCTCAGACAAGGAAATAGATGGTACTTTTAGTCCAAAAAAATTACACACTGCATCCACACTATATATAGTATAGATAAAGTATAGATTGGCATCTGCAAGATATGATCAAAGTCCCCAAATAGGATGATTCTCCGCTCAATCTAACCTTCTCAACAAGTATTGAACCTGAACTTCCTTTGTCAAAGGCATGATCCATTGTCCATATAGTTCAGCAACCAAGCTTGGCGTGATTTTGTATCTGGGATCATCCCCATCTCTCTCTTCATTGACAATTATTTCCTCCCCATATGTTTTGGCCTTCATCTCTACCCTTTTCTTTATTGCTGCTTCAACAGTCTCATATGTCAGCAAATGCATCAACTGTGCACTGTCCTGCAAAATCAAGCAGCATCACCACGGCATCGAGAACTGAGTTGACAATATAAACCTTTATTAATTAGCACAGAACATGGAAAAGAAAATCATCAAGGGAAATATGATGGTCCAGATAACAGATAGCAAAGAAAGCTTACTTGCTTTCTAATAGCAACTTCATAAGCATCAGGAGAGACGCGAAATTTTGCCTCTGCTACAAATTTTCCATAATGCATTCGCTTTGAGAGAGCCTACATCATTAATGTAGAAGGCAACAGTAAGCAAATATGAGGTAAAGAGTTCCAATGCAGACTAATAAGTAACAAAACCACATTTGCATAAAATTTTACTGGTGCTACCACATCTGATACATGTTAGTAATATTCATAAAGGGAAATGTCAGATACGGGAATGCTAGTGTCTCAGGACCCACTACAGAATGAGCCCTAGATAGGTCAGAATTTGAAGCCCAAAAATTACTGAATTAGGATAAAATATTTTCTACCTTCGAGGTGTAAACTTTTCTGGATATCTAATAGGAGTTTCTTTAGACTCAAACTAAGCAACAAAGGAAATCCAATGGTAAAAAAAATCCCATTATATTGAACTTTGGTCTTCTAGTTCTAGATCTCTAGGGTGGCACCCTTTAACTACTAAGCTCCAACCATCTGAGTCTTTCCCATATTAAGTGCAGGAAAAAAGTAGGTAACCGTAAAACTACTTATTAAGAGATAACAAACATATTTTATCAAATGATAGATAAATCTAGTAACTTTCTTCAACCTTATCCAAGAATGTCTCATCCATTGAAGGAGCTGTAAGATCTTTCCATACTACCCAAACTCAGGTCATTATTGTTCTTATCCCTGTGTTTTTAGGACTAGCAATTTCCTCCACTTTTTCTCATTGGTGCATCCGTTTCTGTTCATTTACATGGTTACCACTCAACCAAGGAATGAAAGAGAGTTTATTTCATAACCAAAGTTGAAGATCTCAATAGCCACATGTCACCTATTATATGAGTCAATCCTGATGTATAATTACAATGATACCATTAGTTACAATCAAGTTTCCACCAAATCAGGACATCAGTGCCCAGGTAATTCATTAAGGAGTTGCCATCTGGAATATGACCCATCAAAGATGAGTAGAAACACTGGGTATGTCCAGAAAACAACATTGTCTCATCTTCTGCATGTTATGCCATTTTAACCAACAAAAGACAATAAAATAAAGAATAAAGAAAAGAAAGGTTCCTTTTAATTTGCCAAGAGTACCTAGCCGCATTCCATATTGAATAGAGTGCAATCTGAAAAAAATGATCATATGGAACATTCTGCAATTTCTTTTCAATGAATCTAAAGCTATCATATACAATAACAGTTCTTTCTCCATAAAAGTTACTTTGTTAAAATGTTGCTTTTTTCAACATTGCATTCATATGAATACCATGTACTAAAATTTGACACTGCTATAAAAGTGTCAAATGTGGATAACCCTAAGAAACAGGATTCCTGGACAGGAATACAACTGTTCTCAAAATATAATAAGCAGTTAAGCACTATGCATCTATATAGGATTTAAAAGTGATGTCTTATGAAGTAATCATATACCAATAGACACAGTCATTAATAAACATAACAACCCTACCATCACTCAAACTTTCTACAGGAAACAGTATGAATCCTATTATATAGAAATAACAACTTATAACATGCAACTAAAGCAAGAAAAATGTAAAGAAATCCAAAAATGTCAGGAGGCCAGAATCCATGAAATATTGAACCCAAATGAGTACATCATTAATTCAAAAGAGTCAATGCATCATAGTTTGTTTCCCTTTGGGTAATAGTACCAGGAAGAACCATGGTGCATATCCTACATATCAAAAGGCCATGAAATTCATCTTGAGTGGCCTCTGAAGAATATCAGTTTAAGGATATGTGAAGAATATATTTACTCAAAGAAAAATGACAAATTACATAAACCATCTAATCTGTCAATACAAAAGCAAAACTAACAGAGAATACGGAGATAACTTAAACTACACATATAATCAATTTATATTGTCTATATTCACCAGTATCATTTCCTCATTTCCTGCTTCAACTTGGGAAATCAATCTATAGATGGTAAAAAATGAGAATAGGCATTGCTAAAATACACACCTGCAGGCAAATTGTGTCGCAAACAGCAGTTGATCCATAATTACCATCATCTCCTTTTTTAACCAACCTTGGAAGAAGATCACTAAAATACATGTCCCAGATCTTCTTATTTATATTGATAGAATCGGCAATGGGATGCAGAACCTAATTGAAAAGGGATATATCAGATCAAGTTAAGAGTAACCGTTGGAGAAACAACAAAGCAGAAATAATATGAACATCATGCAGAAAATGAAAGTATGGCTTGCATTAAGTTGAAATACTACTTATCTTTACATAAAGGCCTCCTATTAAAGATTTGATCAAGATTTTGACTGGTCTTAAGTTGTCTGGACTATGTTATTTAGATCACAAGAAAATAAGAGCAGGTTCTTTATTCTCTTTATTCTTTAAATTTTCTAACTGAAATTCTGGAATTAATTATCAAAGTTTGATAGGAGAAAAAGCATTTGTAGGAAGTTCAACTTAGGCCAAATGGTAGGGACACCTTGTAGAAAAAGCATTTATAGGATCCCCTATCTTTTCTTTCAAACCAAACACAGCCTAGGGACACCTATCAAAAAGAAAAATGAAGCATCCTATTTTTCAGTTCAAACATCAGAATGCATGCAAGCAGGACTGTCCTTTTTTGTTATATGCCACTTCTGAACACCAATGAAATGGTCAATACCTCAATCATCAATTTAGGATCTAGCATATTGGATTTGGTTTGGCTATTGACCAAGATCAGGCAACATATATCTTTATTTTGTACAAGGCATACAAAGTCAATAGTTTATAAACTTGTATCTGACCTGTGGATAATGAAGAGGTGGCAATTTTGGCTCTGGTAAGTCTGCTGGAAAGAAAGGATGCTCATCTGGACTCTTGTATCTGCCAACCTTACTTGCAAGAGCAAAGGAAATCAATCAAATCTGCAATAGCATCAAACATTCTTTCTTTTGATGTTCTTACAGAGTTTCAATCTTACCTGTGCATGAAGCTTTTCAGTTTCCCTGACCATGAATTCAACCAAAGAGCCTTGGAACCCATCCATGAAGAACACATTATGATTATACGTATCAGCATTATAACAATACTGAGCTCTCTCCAAAAGGCTAAATATAATGCTATCTTCTTGACGAATTAAAGAATGTCTTATGCTATCCAAGGTTAGACTTTCACTCTCATCTATTCTGTTCTTCCTCTCCAATCTACATGAAGAGAGAGATTAACATCAGAATGTGGTTGAATAGGTCTTCTAAGTAAAATTCTGATTAAAACCAATAGATGTATAGGGCATACTTTGGTATATTAAGGCTAGCAGATACACATTATGGTTTTGTATTCAAGCTAAGGTGTTCAACAGCAAAAGTAGGAATTCTTGTCAATCCATGTGCTTGTGTACATTTTATTCTTTCATGTCTTAGTATTCAACATATTGATGAATTAGCACGTCTGTAGTATAAGAACAATAGAAACATGCTCTTATGCATTATCTGCCTTTGCATCCTAGAATGTATGCTAAATTTAACATTATGATGAGAAAGTGGTTAACAATAAACACATTACATAGCTAATGCATGTTGGGAATTTCAATCAATACAGAGGAAAAGCTAGGTGGACTAAAGGAGGAATCGAAAAAATATACTTGACAGAGGCCAAATATAGAACTATTAAATATAAAATAGCTTCAAAAAAGTGAGAATTTGAACAACCCAAGATACCCCTTGGTATTAATTATCTGTTTTTCCTGAGAAAATTCACTCAAGCTCATAATTAAGTGTGGCAAGTTAAAAGTGCTGAAAAGAACAAGGCAGAAGTGCCTTGTTTCTTCTCTCTGTCTAGTTGATGCACCGACTACCTGGGAATCAATATAGTTTCATTCAATTCTCAGATACCAATAAAACGAACTTCCTAGAAAGGCAGAAACTTTTACAGAGGATGAAAAGGAAAGGTTTCTTGCCAACACAGGAAGGAATTTTCAAGTAAATTACTTATTACAGCAGTAAAAACATCTTGAATTGATAGAAGGCCAATTATGAACGAACACCCAATTGCGCAAAGAGCTTAAAAAAGAAAATGAAAGAAAAAAAAATTAAAAATAAAAGAGCTTTTCAACCATGATCATAATATGAAAATACCCATCAAGTGTTTCAAGAAAAATTGAAAGGAAAGCACGGAAAAGACCAAAATATGGCCAGAAAAAATGGCTACCATCCTCTTACCCGGCGGTAGAAGCCTCAGAAGCTTGGACAGCCTGAACACATCTCCTTGCAGAACTTAATTGAACAAACCCAAAGCTAAGGGATTGCGTAGTTCGAATGACAAAAAGTTTATTTGGTCTTGAAGACTTGAGAAAACAAGGGGTTGAAACCGCAGGAGAGGCGGATTTTAACAGCTTTACGTCCATCGACGGCGAGATGGAAGAGATGGGAAGCAGAGAGAAACGCAGAGTACAAAAGATGAAAAGAGAGACGTAGCAAGGAAAAGGAGAAACCAAACTAACTTATAAAGAGAAATTGTCTAATAACCCCTTAACTTTTTCTCATTATGTAAAAAACTGCTCCTAACTTCTGCATACCTCTAAAAACCCCCCTAACGGGAAATGAAAATAACTGCGAAGGGACCAAGATGGATACACAAAAAGTAAAAGATCTACCATGTACGAGTATATATGAAATTTTGGACGGCCCTCCATATATGATTTATTATACATCTGTTACAGGACGGTGAGGGAGGTATCATATATTGTCAGTAAAGTTAGTAAAAAATAATAAAGAAAAAGGAGAGAGAGAGAGAGAGATGAATTTGACGGTAGGTGAGGAAAATAGGTGGCTGGGTAGGTGAGTCCACGTCCAAGTTTTGTGGTTTGTTGGGGGATAAGGACCAATGACAAACAAAATGGGTGTCATTCCTTTTAATCAACAAACAAGGACAAAGTAAGTGTCTCTATTTTTATTCTCCTGTTGACTCTTATGCCACGTCAAAAATTGATAATCCTTGCTTCACTTTCGGCATCGTGATCGTAAATACAAGTCTTCACTCTTCAGTGTCTACGTATTATGGGAGGAAGAAATACTCTATCTATGGATATTGATCATGCTCAACCATATTCAATCTTGCAGGTCTTTTTGAAGATTCAGAGTTGGAATTGTTGAAAGGTTGTCATCTGCTCAGACAATCTCCAAGTGAGCGCTCCAAAAAGAAGCTACATTACTTTGGTTCTTTTGCAAACAACCAAGTGTTTAATTTCTCAGTCTCAGTTTTCTGTAAAGTTTAATCATATTAACAGAACTTTTAATACATCTGCCCATATCGTATCCCAACAGGCAAAATCCCATTCTGTAGAATTTTTTTATCTTGAAGGGATACCTCCGGTGGATCGGTATGTAAATATTTCTTTTATTTTTAGATAGTTTTATTTACTTGCCAAAAAAAAAAAAGTTCGGCTGGGTTAGGTTGGATTGGTTGACGTTAACCCTAACCTAACCCAAGTTTTGAACTTTGTTAGGATTGGGTTGGGCTCTTGTTGGGTTCCGATTAATCTGTTTGATTCGATTTCTTTATTTTCTTTTGTCAAATACATTTATTTCCTGGATTACAAAGGGTTCACGTTAATTTAATATTAACATTTTTACCTACGGGTGCAACTTGGGCGGATTCAACCCAAGCCTGAACTGATCCAGACCGAAATTTTACATGGGATGAGCCTAAATTTTTGGTCCTCAGATTGGGCTATTCAGGCTTTTTTATTGTTTGGGTTGGGCTCGGACCTAGCCCTTAGGTAGCTTGAACGGATCCAACCATAAACATGCATACATGATATGTATTTACATATATACATACGTATATGTATACACATATTTGTATAAAATGTATACATACATGTATAATTTTAGAGCGAGTTCATTGACCAATCCAAGTGCATCAAATTACAATACGGACTAGGCTCGGGTTGGAAAGATTAGACTTCACCTCATACTTGATCTAGGTTTGGACCTTTGGGCTTGGATTGACCATAAACCCAGTCCAACCCAGCTGACTTGCATCCCTATTGTTACTATAAAAGAATAATTATCATGTCTTAGGGTCAGTTCCAACTGCTCCATCAACGTTAATTTTTATCAAGTTGGTCTCTGGTGCAACCCAAACTTCGTGGTTAGAGTGATTATCAACGGGAATCAAATCAGCTGTAACACTAGCACTTTGGTTAACTAAATATACATGTATATACACCTGGCAAAAAGTTGACCCAACCCGCGAACCCGATCCAACCCAACCCAAAAAATAGGGTTAGCGTCTCATAGTTAGCTACCCGAATGTAAAATGACCTGACCCGAAAAAAAACTGGGTTGGGTTGGATCAACCTACTGACCCGATTTGTCAAGTCTAATTGGGATTATTTATGCATTGTTAGAAGTTTTCACTCTTTAATTTTTTCTATTTAGTCTTTGTTTTTTATTGTTTACTTTTTAAATTGTTAAATGTTCAAGTTTTTATTTTATATTTGAAATTTTAAGGTTAATTCTTTTATTTTTGACATTTTTCATGTAATTTTTATTTATTTCTTTAAATTTCAATTATTTTTTGGGATGACCTAGATTAATCCATGGGACAACCCTAATCCAAATATTTAGGATTAGGGTCTAGCATTTGACAACCCGACCCGAAATTCAACCCGACCCGAAATCAATCCAAAGTACCTTAACCCAACCCGAACCCGACCCACCCAACTCAATTGCCAACATAAATATAAGGCATATACATTTTTGGATACATAGTTGCATGTATATACATAAATAGTGAATATATATATATAAATACATATATACATAATACATATTTATATGGGAAAATCTATGTTGTTAGAAATACATGATTGATTTGTTACAATTGGGTTGGTTAAAGCCTTAACCTTAACTAAATCAACCCAAAGTTAAATCAAATTCATACTTTTCAATCCTAATACTAATCCAAGCTTCAATCCAACCCTACTTTTTTTGGGTCAAGTTAACCCAGCCAAAGTTGCAATCCAATAATTTAATAGAAAAATCAGACTCCAATACATGGGTGGAGCGAGGGGACCCAGAGGAGCCATGCCCCCACCCCCCACTATGGTCAGAAATCCCCACCGTAATACGATATTTTATATAAATTTTCCTCCTACTCCCACTCTCCACCTCATTGGTTGGCCCCTATGGACCCATCCATATTTATTCCCCCTATAAAAATTTCTTGGCTCTGCCCCTTCTCCGTTATATAGTGGAGTTGATCCATTAAAAAAAGAATCTCACTCTTTGTGTACCGGAGCGGGTTGGAATGCCACAACTATCTCCGTTCCAACTCTCCAAGATATAGAGGGTGTTTTGCAAAGTTACCGTATGTTGAGGGTTTTGCTATAACACTGATGCCGTAAGTTATAACGTTTGAATGTCAGGTTAACACGCATGACATAGAATCCAGATTTGCACCAATCTCCCAACGAACAGCTGAAGTGTTGTGAGATTGGACACTCAAACCAAAATCTCCTAGGATATCACTCACTTCTAGACGAGCCCAAATACCCTACAATTTTTTTCTACCCACTCTTTATATGTCGTGAATTGGAGTCATACATCTCTTAATTCATAATAAAGATGTATGACTTCAATTCACAGCGAGCAGAGAGTGGGTAGGAAAAGTGAGTAGGAAATCCCGAGTGCTTCTAGACTATCCTTCACAATGAGAATATCTTGACTCAACATAGCCACGAGATGCTAAAGCACAGGTACACTACTCTTTAACTTTTAATCTATTAATATATATTAAAACGAAATCATCCATGTCAAATGGCCTTTCCTTTCTCCCCTTCCCCAACCAAGTCTTCTTCTTGATTACCTCTCTCCTCAAAATACCATTCAGGCCCTGTTTGGATAGACTTTTATAAAGTACTTTTGTATTTTTAAAGTATAAAGTATGAAAAACACGGCATAGTATTTGTATTGTATATTTTATACTTTTTGCTTTTATACTTTTAAAAGTATGAAAAACCTTAAAAGCATAAAGTCAATTTTTTATACTTTGTGCTTTTGTTTTCGTGCGAATAAACGGTCACGTGTGACCACCCTTTGATAAAACTCTCGACCTTGCCTCTACTCGCCGCTACTAGAGTTGGACTACTGTTACTAGTTTCAGGCCTTGAAACCATCGGAAACAATCTCCAGAAGTACAAACGAATGTGCTTTTGCCAAACAGAAATGATACTTTTGTTTTGGAAAGCATAATTTTCAAAATTTTTTACCCCAAAAGTTTTCAAAGCAAAAATATCAAAGTAAAAGTATTTTGGGAAAATTCTCGATTAGTACCATGTATTTTGTGCCTAATGCCACTTTGGTCCCCAAACTTTAAAATGAGACAAATCAATACCCGAACTTTCAAAATATGATAATCCAGTMCCTGCCATTAATCAACATTTAACTTGTCATTAAGTGACATTTGAAAAGAACACAAATGCCCTTCAAGTGTCATTTAATTTTCTTTATCAACCATCTAAACATTGACAAAAAATTAATAGTCCAAAATCTTTGTTTCTTCCATTCAAGAAAGTTGGGGTTACATTTGATTGGGCATTCTAGTGACTCCAACTTTCTTGAATAGAAGATGCAAGGAATTGGGACTATTAATTTTTTTTGTCAATGTTTGGATAGTTGATAAAAAAATTTAGATGACAATCGAAGGGCATTTGTGTTTTTTTAAAATGTCACTTAACTACTAATTAACAACTAGTTAATGACAAGTATTAGGTTGTCACATTTTGAAAGTTTGAGTATTGAATTGTCGCATTTTAAAGTTCGATGACCAAAGTGACACTAAACCCAAAGTACAAGGTACAAATTGGGAATTTTCCAAAGTATTTTATGTACTTTATACTTTGATATTTTTAAAAGTACAAAAGTAAAAGTCTATCCAAACAACGACTAATACTCTCCACTTGCCACCTAAGGAGACAATTGAGACAATTCATAAAAGTGTTTTCACAAAAGTACTTTTATAATAGTGCTTAAGGAAGTACTTTTATAAACGTACTTTTATGAAAGCACTTTTATGAAAGTACTTTTATAAAATTCAACTAGAGATAATTTTGAAAGAAAAAAAAAATTGTATAAGTGCTTATTGTATAAACACTTAAAAAAAGCTACAAATTTGGGCTTAAAAAAATAAGCTCTTTATTTTTAAAATAAGCACTTATTTCAGGCTTATTTCCCAAACACCAATAAGTGCTTAATGGTTTGATGCTAGCCCAAATAAGCATTTATTTCAAATAAATACTCCCAAGCATGGCCTTAGTATCCTTTCTTTCTTTCTTTCTTTCTTTCTTGTATTGACCTTCCACCCACCATATTAATTATACTTTTTGAACCGTTCTTCTTAATAGACCTACTACACAGTTTCTCCATTGACAGTATAACATTTCTTTCTAAGAAGCCATTCATAAG